TCCTCCTCCTCCATCCTTCTTCGCTTCCTCCTCTTATTCATCCTCTTCCTCCTTCTCCTTCCAGCCGTTTTGCGCTCGGGCTGCGCGAGCCGAGCGTCCCGTGCACCGTCTTCAGAACGGTGTCGCGCACGGGGGCCACACGCTGAGAGGGGCCATGCAGCGGCGAAAGCGGACGCCTATCGCCTGGGCGCCCGGGCGGCCGCCGCTGCCGAGAGTGGCCGGGGCCGCGGGCGTGATCGCGAAGACCGCGAAGGTGCCGACGGTACAGCACGTCGAGTGCGCCGCCGCGGTGCCGCGCGTCGGGGCCGAGAGGGCCGGACGTTCCGTGCAGGTCCAGGTGGAGGTCTTCGCACTGGGCGACGACGCATGCCAGCTGGCGGACGCCGAGGCGGATGCGGTCGCGGAGGGCGACCTCGAGGGGTGCTTCTTCGCGGAGTCGGCGACGGGGGCGGCGCCTCTCCCCTCCTCGGAGACCGAGCAGGGGCGCATCCTTGTGGCCTTCCTGGGACGGACGGTGGGGGTGTTCGGCACGGTCGCGGGCACGGGCGTCGTGCTGCAGGGTACTGAGGCTAAGGCCACCGAGGAGGGCCTCTTTCCGGGCTGGCGTTCGGCAGGACACGGGCGGGGTGGCCGAGCTGCGGGCCTGTGCCGAGCGTGCCGAGGCGCAGGTCGAGCGCCTCCTGGGCGAGCTGATCGCGCTGAGGCAGATGATGGATGGCCTGGGCTGGGGAGCTTCCATAGGCCGTGGCGGTGGTTCCGTTGGTGCAGCGCGGGGGGGGCACGCCGGCGCCCCGGGAGGACGGCGTGCGCTGCGACGTGGAGGTCTCAGCATCCAGGCGGTGAGGCCCGACGCGCGCGCCGCGGCCCCTGCCTTCCCCGAGCTGAAGTTCGCGGAGGGGCCCGGCTCCCTGGGCGACGTCGTTGATCCGTGAGTGCGAGAAAGACGAGATGGCAGAGCTGGGCGACGAGGGTCTTCTCTTGGGCTCGGGCGGGAGGCTGGCGCACGAGGAGGAGGAGGAGGAGGAGGAGGAGGAGGAGGAGGAGGAGGAGCAGTGCGACCGCTCGGAGTCGTGCGGCCAGGCGGGGAACGATGAGGGCGTCGTTAACGTGGCCGCGCCGCCGCACGGGACCATGGGGGCCGCGGATCGAAATGGACGAGCGGGAGACCATGCAGGTGGCGGTGCACTCGTGGCCGAGGCGGGGGGGCGACGGAATCGCGACGACCATGTGCGTCGTGGAGGTCGGGGGCGTCGATGCCGCCTCGCTCATGGCCGACCGTGACCCGTGGCGGCCTGGATGGCTAGCCGACGGAGAGGAGCCCGCCCCTCCCTTGCCCCCGGCCCACGAGGTTGCGGGGGGACGCCGGTGGCTATGCGTAAGTCGGGCTTGTCCCTCTACAGGGGGAATATTCAAAAGTAGTTTAAAAAATAGTCAGGGATCTGTTGTTTGACCATTCTTGAGCATTTTTAGAACATGTTTTGGGTATTTTAATTTATCGTCCAGAATCGGCCTGTAGGGGGACAGGCCCGACTTAAGGCGATGCTCCAGCTGTGGCCCTGGCTTTCCCTGGGCAGGGCGGGCGAGCCGTGAGCGGCGGCGCGCCAGAGGTTCCAGGGGCTGAGCGGGCGGTAGCTTCAAGTCGGGCCCGTCCCTCTACAGGGGGAATATTCAAAAATTGTCCAAAAATAGTCAGGGGACTATTGTTTGACCATTTTTAAGCATTTTTAGTGTATTCTGTTGGGGGGGTATTTTTTATTTTTCGTCCAAAATCAGCCTGTAGGGGGACAGGCCCGACTTAACGGTAGCTCTGAGTAGCTGCTGGGCTCGGTTTCAAGCGCCAGCGTCCGTCCGGGGGGCGGTCTGGGTGCTGTTTCGTTGCGGGCCGCGGGGTCCTGGGCGCGGCCCCGGTGGCCGCGGTCGCTTGCCCGTTGGTCTCCGTCTCTGCGGGGGTGGCGGGGCCTCGGCCACGGCTGTCCCCTCCTGGGAGAGCCGCTGTTGGGTTGCACCTGTCTGGTGGGACCCTCGAACTTCTCGTCGCCGCTCTCGCCCTGCTGGGATTGTATAGCTTTTCTTGCCGCTGCGGCGGTAGGCGTCCCATTGTCAGTGCTTTCTCCTCCTTCCTGTCTTCCACCTCGTCCTCCTCATCCTCCCACCTCCTTCCTGTCCTACGTTCCCTCCTCCTGCTCCCTCCCCCTCCCACCTCCTCATCCACCTCCTCCTCCTCCTCCTCCTCCTCCTCCTCCTCCTCCTCCCCGTTCCTGCTCCTGCTCGGGACGGGGAATCGGAGGACCTGCGCAGCGACTGGCACACGCTCTTCGAGATCCAGCGGCACGTTCCCGCGCCCCCCACGCTGCCTCGCGGCGCGCGCCGGGTCAACGAGGAGGCTTTTAGGAGGCACGATGCTCAGGGCACTGATGCAGTTGACCCCCCAGGCCCCGTTAGCCGAGGCGCCTGGTTTTTGCCCCGAGGGTGCCAGTGTCTGAGCAGCGGCTTTGTTGCAGTAGCCTTTGCACGCATGCACTTCCTCATCATCGGTACCCTCAGCGGCCAGCTCGCGGGCGGCGGGGAGGTTCGGGAGGCTCTGGAGGGGCGGGGGGCTCTGGGGGCTCGGGGCGGGACTCCGAGCTTCTGGACTCGAGGATGCAGGTCACCCGAGGGGGGCGCGAAGGTGACCGCGCTTCGCGCATCGCGGCTGTGTTGTAGAGCGCTGGAGGGCGCACTGCTCTGGGGCGGCGGCGCGAAGGCGCGAAGAGAGCCGGCGCATCGCGGGTCGCCATGCGCGAAATCAGGTGACGTGGGCGATCGATTTTTTTGTTGCACCGCGATGCAAAGAACATTCGTCAACATGCTCGCCCATGGTTTTTCCATGCCCTCCCCCCTGGAAAACGTAAAGGGGTTCCAGCGATTCCATCGTACAGTCAACCCGCATAGTAACGATGAGTAAGTTTCCAAAGTTACCCTGCGTCCGTCCCCTTCGGCCCGTTCCTTGTCCGCTTTCGCTGGCCGCGCTCCGCTCGCAAAGCGTCGGCTTGGCCTTCCAAGGCCCTTGCATCATTTTTTTTTGCGCGTCTCTCGTGTACGGGTTGACTGTATGTTGGCGCCGACTCTGGCGTGCGCCGGCCCGGCGTAACCCGGCGCGCAACGTGCGCGGGTCGGGCGGGTGGTCATGGGGGGTGACCCAAACGGGAGATGAAGAACGGAGCCCTGGCCCTCGAACGGCCCTGACGGCACCAGCTGGCTCCTGAAGGGGCCCTGAAGAAGCTTCTTCTTAGGGCCCCTATTGGAGCCAGCTGGTGCCCAGAAGGGGCCCTAACGGGCCCGTTGGGGGCCCTTTTCGTCACCCCCCATTTGGGTCGCCCCCCCCATTAGGACTTAGAGCGTAAAGACTATCCCCATTGGTCGTTGGGGAAAACAGTGTCCCAGTGATCGACCCTCGGGACATGACTTCCTGCCGGCGAGCCGATCAGAAAACGATTGTCGGCGGAGGCTAAGTCCATCCGGAATAAGTCCAGCCGGGTTGTTCGGTTTCCTTTTGGCCTTACTCCGCCTTGACTTAGCTTCTCCTGATAGGAAGCTGAGCCCATACAGAGTAAGTCCATACGTGCTCGGGCTCCGTCGGGACTTTCCTGAGGTCCACGCGGCGTCAGGAACCAACGCCGGGGTCGTCGTGACACGGACCTGCCGCAACTACTGGCGACCCCGGTCATGTGTGGTGGCGTGAAGCTGCCGCTTCCGCAGGCCGGTGCAGAGAGGGGGATGGTTGGGCGTTTCGAATACTTGGCATCGCTCGGACGTGTGCATTTTTCCTCCGGCGAGGACCATCGAGGAACATCCTTGACCATTTGGCGAAAAAAACACGCACGAATCCGAAAAAAACATAGGGAATGGACGTCCGAGCGATGGCCAGAATAAGAGGGGCGATGCATTGGAAGGTCGATGATTGCAGGAACGGGGCCCTGGAGGGGCCCTGGACGCGCCAGGGGCCCAAGTCGACCCTGGTCATAGGCGGTGGTGTGGAGCGGCCGCTTCCGCAGGGCAGTGCGGAGTGGGCGAACGGCTGGGCGTGCCGAACCCAGACATGATCGCATCGTAAGCTTGAGCGATCAACGATTTCCTACCTGTCCTCATCCTCCTCATGCTGCTCCTCCTCCTCCTCTTCATCATCCCCTCCTCCTTCTGCTCCTCATCCTCCTCCTCCTGCTCCTCCTTCCTTCTCCTTCCTCCTTCCTCCTTCTCCTTGCAATCACATTCCTGTATCCACATTCCTATCCCCCCTCGTCATCTCCCTCCTGCACGGCGGCGCCTGTGCGCGTGTGAAGAAACCGACGCCACCAACTTGGCCCCCCCCACCCCCCCTGGGCACCGTGGATCTATACAAATTCCTGCCGCGCGCGCACGCGCCAGGCGCATGTTGGCTTCCCCTCGTTCGCGCACGTACTTTCACTCGTAAAGCATCCGACGCGCCCAAGTTGGGTCCCCACTATGGGGGCCGTGGACGCGTGAACAGAAGTGCCCAGCGCACGCGCCAGGCGCATGTTGGATCTCCCCCCATCCGCGCACGAACTTACGCGTGTAGAGTCTGACGCATCTAGGTTGAATTCCCCCCCTGGGGGCCGTGGACACGTGTGCATAATAGCTACGTGCCCCGCGCGCACGCGCCAGGCGCATGTGTGGTCCCCCCCCCGCCCCCAAGTTGGGTCCCCCCTGGGGGCCGTGGACATTTGAACACATGCAGCCCGCGCGCACGCACCAGGCGCATGCTGGGTCCCCCCCCCTCCGCGCACATATTTTTTGCGTGTGACAAGTCCGGCGTGCCCAAGTTGGGTCACTCCTTCTGGGGGCCGTGGACACGTGAACAGGCGTGCCCCGCGCGCAAACGCCGAGCGCATGTTGGGCCCCCCCCGTCCCCGAGTTGGATCCCCTTTTCCTGGGGCCGTGGACATGTAAAAATGCGTACCCCGCGCTCGCGCGCCAGGCGCATGTTGGGTCGCCCTCTTTCGCGCACGCTTTTCCACGCGTAAGCAATCCGACGCGCCCAAGTTAGGCGCCCCCCGCGCGCGCCAGGCGCATGTTGGGGCCACCTCCGCGGTCGCATCTGCACGTGTAAAGAAGCAAGAAGGCTCAGGTTGGGTGCCTCGCTGGGCGCCGTGGACACGTGAACATGCGTGCCCCGCACGCACGCGCCAGACGCATGTTGGTTCCCCCTTTCCGCGCGTGTGTATATAGACATATATATGTCCACATATCTATATATACACATCTATGTATGAATGTATATGTGTAAAGAGATGTGTGTGCCCCCACACACATACGAAACGAATGCGGAGGGCAAAGTCAGGCCTCTCGCTGGGGGCCGTGGACACATGGAAATACGTGCCCCGCGCGCACATGCCAGACGTATGTTGGGCCCCCCTGGCGTTCAATGTGGACCTCCTTTGGGGGCCGTGGACATGTGAAAATACTTGCCCCGCGCGCTCGCCAAGATCATGTTGGGCCCCACCCCTTCTGACCAGGTATTTTTATGCCGTACGTGGACACGTGAAAATAGATGCCCTGCGCGCGCGCCGCGCCAGGCGCATGCTGGGTCCCCCCTTCCGCGCACGATTTAACACGTGTAAAAAAATCCGGCTGGCTAAAGTTCGGCGTTTCGCTGGTGGGCACGTGAAAACAGGTGCCCCGCGCGCACGCGCCAGGGACATTTTGGGCCCCCTCCGCGCACATATTTGTACGTGTGAAGGACCTGGCGCGCCCAAGGTGGATCCGTGGACATGAGAAACATCGCGGGCATGCGCCAGGCGCATGGTGGATCCCCCCTACGCGTACGTGCTTTTTGTGTCGGCCGTGGACACGTGAAAATAGGTGCCCCGCACGCACGTACGCATGTGCCACGCGCATGTTGGGTGCCCCTTTCACGCACGTATTTTCACGCGTGAAGTCCTTCGCTGGGAGCCGCGGGGACGTGAAAATAGATGCCTCGCGCGCACGCGCCAGGCGCATGTTGGCCCCCCCTCCTCCGTGCACGTAGTTCTACGTGTCCAATTCCCGCAGGCTGAATTGGGTCCGTCGCCTGCGGCCCCGTCGTGGAGGGAAACATGTAAAAAACAATTGCCGAACGCACGCGTGCCGAGCCTCATGTTGGAGTCCTCCTCCTCCTCCTCCTCCTCCTCCTCCTTCTCCTCTCTTTCCCCCTCCTGCCGCTCCGCCTCTCAATCCCCCGCTGCGTTCTCCCCCCCCCCCCCAGCAGCCTCCGCCCTCGCTCATCGCCGTGATCTCTGTCCGCCGCCGCCCCTTACCTGGAGCCTCGCGTAGCGCCTCGCGTAACGCCCTTTGCCCCTCGCCTAGCCCCCCCTTCTCGCTGCCCTGCGGCCACGGACTGGTGACAGGCAGGCCCGAAGTTCCCTTCTTCGATCGGCGACAAGCCCGCCTTCGAAGCAGCCTTCCCAGAAGGCACGCCTTCGGGGGGGGCAAATGAGAAGGAGCACGCCTTCCCAGAAGGCGACTAGAGGGCGGTTTCGATGACGTGCGAGTCAACATGGACGCAGATACGATTCGAGCGGAGGGGCGGGGACAGGCAAGCCTGAAACTCGTGCGCTCGGCGGCGAGCCCGGGGGGGGGGAAGTGAGAAGGAGTCGCCCTTCTCAGAAGGCGACGGGCTTCGCAGAAGGCCTCCGGCCTCCAGCCTCCGGCCTCTGCGTCGTCGGGGAAGGCTGAGAAAACTTCTCGGAAGGCCGGGCAGTCTCCGAGTCTTCTGAGAAGGCCCTCCCCTCCTCACTTCCCCCTTGTGTGAAGTCGGGCCTGTCCTCCTACAGAGGGATTTGGGACGAGAAATCAAAAGTCGTCAAAACATAATACCCAACGGTCAAAAATATTCCCAAAAACGTCCCAATCTGATTTTTCACTATTTTTGAAAATTCCTCCCGTAGAGGGACAGACCCGACTAAACCCTTGGGCTCGCCGCCGATTCGAGTAGGGGATCGGCTGCAGCAGTGATGTGCCCCACAATTGGTGTCTTGTCTCGAGTCGACTCTTACAGTCGGGCCGGACGAAAGGGGGGGATAGGGGAAGGCGGGGGTACGAAATTTGTTGCATGTAGCTGGTTTCGGCCCCACCGAAGGGGCCCATTCCTCGATACATGGCCGCCTCCAGCGCCAGGAGGCGCCAGGAAAATCAGCTACGCGAGCTGATTCTCAAACCCATCCTTTGCTATCCCCCCCTTTCGCCCAGCCCGATACAAACAGAACAGGCATGATGATCTGTGGGTCTGCGGGGTATTCCACGTACTCCCTGTAGACACCGCGGAGAAGAAAAACAGCTTTGGTGTACGTGAATTCTGTGGTCGATCTCCTCGATTTCTGCCTGGGCTCGCCGTGCTCAGCGGAGGAGGACAGTCCCCGCCGCCCTCCGCCCCTCGCCGCCGAGAGCAGGCACTTCTGCGCGCTGCCCCCGTTCCGCGCCACCAAGTACCTGGAGCCCTCCAACGTGCGGCACGCTCTCCGGTGCGCCGAGGCGGGCCGTGGGGGGTGTTTGGCCGTGCTCCTGCACAGGGGGGGGGTCGTGCGTGCAAGACTCATATCCATATCCAGTGCCTCTTGGACTTTTTTTGGAAGCGGCACCACCAGGCCGAGGCGCACTGGATATGGATAAAAATCGAGCCTCTAGGGGGCAAATTTATCCATATCCAGTGCGCCTCGGGTTTCTTGGGAAGGGAGCCCGAAACTCGATACATCAGTGGATCTAGACAGAAGTATTGCCCGCAGGTCGGGCTCCGGGGCTCCCCCCTTCGCCACGGGGCAGCGGGGTGCTGAGTCAGATCCTCTCGGGGGGGTGGGCCTTCCTGGGGCTTCCCTGGCGGGTCTGTTCGGTTCCAAATTTGCTTTTGGTTCGACGCCAGGTCGGTTCAGGAAAGAGCCTCGGGATCCAGGATTTGCTTCCCTCGGGACGCGTTTCCTTCATGCGAACCGCGAGCGTGTCGTCGTCGTCCTCCTCCTCCTTCCCCCCTCGCGGGGCATCAGCGGGAGGCTGCCTCTGCCGCACCGCAGCACCTTGCTGCGCTCTTCGGTGGGCCTCGGAGTGGCCCCATGATGGCCATGGGGTGGCCTCGGGTAGCCACGGCTACCCTCAGTTCAGGGAGACCGGTCGCGGATTGCAAGGGCTCAGGCGCCACCGTGTGAGGGCTCAATGTGTTTGGTCTGCTATGGATTGAGCCTGGGAGGATGACGGACGAGGATGGCATGGGATTGCCTCGGACGTGGTGCGGACGGCCTTGGCAAGCGCGATTGGCGCGTTTCCGCTCCGCCTCCTGCCTCTGCTGGCCTTGCGCATCGATCCGTTTCGAGAGATCCCGCTGGAAAACGGGTTCGAGAAAGCTCCGTCCGTGGTGTTGGCTCGACGGGAATATGATGGCACCACTGTATCACATATCGCAGTCAGGGTCGAACGTTAACATGTGACACGCGCGGTGATTGAGAGCGAGAGCGTTGCAAGCTCAGTGAGGTGAAAATGTTTGGTTTTGTCCCATTGCGTTTTCTGAAGTGACACGTTGTTTCCCAGGTGTTTCCTGATTCGATCCTCTGGCGTTAATGGATCCAGGCGCTACCTGGGCCAAAAAAGGCTAATGGTTGATTGAGGGGTGAAGGTTCTCTTTGGAAGATTTTGATTGTAGCAGTGTGAGCGGGGCACCTTTTCTTGAACGAATACCGGTACCGAAACCCTTATTTGGTTGTTTGCGTTGTTCGCTCTGGCACCATGCGTCCTACAGATCGGTGCACTTGTCGTTTGCCTGCCTCTTCGCCTGCCTGCTTCCGTTCACACTTGTTCACTGAAGGCGTGGATAAGCTGAGGGACTCCTTGGTCGGATTCCTCGGCGTCTCTGCTGATCATGGTGGCGCGCTGACGCAAAACCCAAACCGAGTCAAAATTAGCTTGGCGAAGGACCCAACCATACGCAGTTGTGAATACCGCAGTTGTGAATACCATCTTCGCCCGCGCTCCCCATGTGGCCACGGCTTCCCGCCGAAGCCCGACATGCTCATGGACACGTTCGTGGCCGTCTTCGCGGGCGCCGACGACGACGAGGACGGCGTCCCTCTGACCGAGGAGCAGAAGCAGGATTGGGCTTTGAGAGCCATGAGGGAACGAGGTGGCGTTGCACATCGATTCGGCGGAGTACGACGCCCAGGTGCGGTTGTTGAAGCAGCACAGCGATGGGGCCACGATCCTCGTGCGGGGTGCGTCGAAGTGGCCCGAGGCCGCCATGCGAACCTTGCCCTTGGGACATTCGGTGGAGCTCCCTACGGGGCAACGACCCTCGTGAGGGGGTGCGCCGGAATGGCCCGAGGCCGCCATGCGAACGTTTCTACTGGCGCCTTCGGCGGAGCTCCCGACGGGGCGACGATCCTCGTGAGGGGTGTGCCGAAATGGCCCGAGGCCGCCGCGCGAACCCTGCCGCTGGGGCATTCGGCGGAGCTCGTTACGGGGCCACGATTCTCGCGGGGGGGCGCGCCGAAATGGCCCGAGGCCGCCGCGCGAACCCATCCTCAGGGGCGTTCGGTCGAGTTTGCCATGGGACCACGAGCCTTGTGAGGGGTGTGCCGAAATGGCCCGAGGCCGCCATGCGAACCCTGCCATTGGGGCCTTCGGTGGAGCTCGTTACGGGGCAACGACTTCGTGAAAAAAGGGTGCGCCGACATGGCCCGAAGCCGCCGCGCGAACCTTGCCAGTGGCGTCTTCGGTGGAGCTGCCTTCGGGGCGACGATTCCCGTGAGGGGTGTGCCGAAATGGCCCGAGGCCGCCGTCCGAACCCTGCCGCTGGGGCATTCGGAGGAGTTCCTTATGGGGCCACGATCATCGTGAGGGGGTGCGCCGGAGTGGCCCGAAGGCGCCGTGCGAACCCCGCCTCCGGGGCATCCGGCTGAGTTCGCCATTCGGCCCGAGGCCGCCACGCGAACCCTGCCATTGGTGCGTTCGGTGGAGCTCCTTGTGGGGCCACGATCCTCGTGAGGGAGTGCGCCGACATGGCCCAAGGCGGCCATGCGAACCCTGCCACTGCAGAGTTCGGTGATGCCCCTCTGGGGCCACGATCCAAGTTAGGGGGTGTGCCGAAATGGCGCTGGGCCGCCATGCGAACCTTGCCACTGGGGTTTTCAGTGGAGCTCCCAAGCGATCCCCGTCAGGGGTGTGCCGTAATGGCCCGTGGCCGCCACGCGAACCTTGCCATTAGCGCCTTCGGTGGAGCTCCTTGTGTGGCCACGCTCCTCGTGTGGGGCGCGCCGAAGTGGCCCGAGGCCGCCATGCGAACCCTGCCAGTGGGGCCACGATCCTCGTGAGCGGTGTGCCGGAATGGCCCTGGGCCGCCATGCGAACCTTGCCAATGCGGCGTTCGGTGGAGCTCCCTACGAGTCAACGATCCCCGTGAGGGGTGTGCCGAAGTGGCCCGAGGCCGCTGGGCGAACCCTGCTGCTGGGGCATTCGGTGGAGATCCCTATGGGGCCACGATCCTCGTGAGGGGTGTGCCGAAATGGCCGGAGGCCGCCATGGAGTTCCTATGGGGCCACGATCCTCGCGAAGGGTGTGGTAAGTTGGATTGGGGCCGCCATGCGAACCCTGCCATTGGGGCCTTCGGTGAAGCCCCCTCTGGGGCCACGAAGCGCTGCGCTGGGTGGGCGAAGCGCACGGAGGAAGGAAGAGGGGGCGGAGGAGGGAGGAAGGAGGAACGCGGGGACCGTCTTTTCAAAGCGAGGACCCAACACCACAGGATGGTTTGGAAAAAAAATCCCTCCCCCCATTCCTTCCCCGCCCCTCTCTTTTTCCTTTTCTCGTCCCTCCGCAGGGGTCGCCAGACAGCCAGTACCGCTCCGTCCTGCATCCGTCCCTTCTCCCCCTGTCCTCCCCCGACCCAGACTGCGACGCGCAAGCCGCGGTTGTCTTCGCGCCGCCGGGGTACGATGCCGATACAACATCGCTACTCCCTGGTCCCTCCCGCGCGGCGTGTCCGACCAGAATTTCGCGGCGGCTCTGGTCGGCGCGACGAGGGCACCCCAGGAGGCACATATAAGCGTAAGTCGGGCACGTCCATCTACAGGATAAACTCCCCACAAATAGTTAAATCATAGTCTGGGCTTATGTTTTGTCAATGTTTGATTTGTTTACCCTACTTTAGCACTTTTGCCCACAATCCTCGTGGCGGGGACATGCCCGACCCAATCCCAGGAGGCTCATACATGCGAGCACGAGAGAAGGCCCCACCTCCTTGCAGGTGACGAACCGCGCTATCTTCGAGGGCAGCGGCCGATACATCGGCGGCGCGCGTCAGCTGAGCGCGCTACGGCTGCCTCGCGGCGCGCCTTGCGCTGGAGCAAGGCCCCTGGGTTTTTGTCGGGTGGGATTGGAGAGAATGATGGTGGTGATGGTGATGGTGGTGATGGTGATGGTCATGGTGATGGTGTTGGTGTATAATGGTGATAATTGTGATGATGCTGATGCTGATGATGCCGATGCGAATGATACTCTGAATGATGATGATGATGATGATGATGATGATGATGATGCTGGTGATGACGATGATGGTGATGGTGACGACGAGGATGAGGATGAGGATACGGATGAGGTTGAGGATGAGGATACGGATGATAATGAGGATGAGATGGTGTCAGTGATGATGATGCTGATGGTGATGATGATAAGATGATGCTGATGATGATGATGATGATGTTGATGATGATCATGTTGTGGATGATGAGCATGGTTATGATGATCATGGTGATGAGTGTGATGGCTGATGATGGTGATGCAGATTACGATGATTGTTATGTTGCCGATGATCATGGTGTTGATGCTAATGGTGATGCTGATTGTGGTGATGGTGGTGATGATGATGATGACGATGGTGCTGATGGTGTCAGTGATGATGATGAAGGTGATGGTGATGGTGATGGTGATGGTGCTGATGATGCTGAAGAGGATGATGATGATTGCGATGCTGATGCTGACGGTGATGGTGATGGTGATGATGGTGGTGATGGTGATGATGGTGATGGTGATGTTGGTGATGAAGGTGATGATGGTGATGGTGATGATGATGATGCTGCCGATGATCATGATGGTGATGGTGATGGTGCTTGTGATGGTGATGGTGATGGTTGTGGCGGTGATGTCGGTGGTGGTGAGGATGTTAGTGGTGGTTTAGGTGATGATGGTGATGCCGATGCTGATGCTGATGCTGATGGTACTTGTGGTGTTGCTGATGCTGATGGTGATGGTGGTGGCAATGATGATGCTGATGATGATGGTGATACTGTTGGTGATGATGATGAGTCTGATTTTGATGATTCATGATGGTTGTGGTGATTATGGTGATGATGCGGATGATGCTGCTGATGATGATGGTGATGATGATGCTGATGATGCTGATGATGCTGATGATGGTGGTGCCGGTGATGGTGATGGTGTTTGTGATGTTCATGGTCATGCGGAGGAGGATCATGGGGGCAGTGATGATGATGAAGGGGGCGGGAAGGCAGTGCAAGGATGAAAGGGGAGGCAGCAGGCGGGAGACGCGGAACGGGAAACGGTGGAGGGGCTGCATGAAGAGGGCGGAGGAAGGGGGGGGGAAGGACGAGCAGGAGGAGAAGCAAGGAGGAGCAGGAGAGGGGAGGACGTGTTTTTGGTGGTTCAGTATGCCATCCATGAGTATATGCTACCCATCAGTGTCATGCTATCTTCTGAGGGGGTAGACCTGTAGAGCCCATACGGGTGCCCGCGATGGCTCAAATGCGACAGATCGTGTATCCCCTCAGGTCAGCTGCATATATGTGTATTCCTTGGCGGTTGGTCAGGACTACTTGAGATTACGAATGCTGTCTATTGCGTGCTGAACGTCAGTGTCATGCTATTTCCTGCGGGGGTTGACCCGTAGAGCCCAGACGGGTTCCCACGATGGATTAAATGCTACGGAGCGTGGATCCCCACAGGTCCACTGCAACATAGATCTGTCCTGGGACGCCTGGGCTCTTATTCAGAATTCAAAGAGAAATCCATGGTTATTTGGATATACTGCAGGGTGGTATGAGCACCGCAGCGTGGGAACCAGGACTATCGTGAGCTATGAGGCGTACTTTAGAATGTGGATTTCTCTTTTGGGGAGGAGTGTCTACTCCTTCTTGCAGCAAGTCAGGCCCCCTCCGCATCTGCACATTGACCTCCTCGCAGTATCGGACTGGTACTTGGCCGAGTGAGAACCGTGCGGATGGGGGAAGGAGGGGCCTCAAATACACTGGCAGTCAATATGCTGGCGAGAGGTTCTATGTCCAAGTGCTGTTCAATTGCAGGTTGCTGGACTGGTCCATTCTTGTGCTGTACTACCACGTGGTGCAGCACTTGTGCTTGGTATATTTTTGGCCACAGGGCCGTGGAGCATATTCAGCCTGGAGGGGTTCTGGTACAGTGAGCTCCTCTATGATATTTGGTGGGAAATTGTTTCACAAAGTACGTGTACGAAGTAAATTACCCCAGCACAGTCGTCGGAGGGGGGAGGACGTGAAAAGTGCAGCGCCGACGTCGGACACTGGCCCGGGAGCCGACGCCAATTACCCAAGTAATCGAACGGGGGTGGGGAAGGGAGGGCACGGAGGGGCACCATTCTCCCTTGCTGCTGCTGCTCCTCCTCCCACTGCCGCTCCCGCTCTTGCTCCTCCTTCCCCCTCTCTGCTCCTGCGCGCCGATAGTGCCAGCTGCCGCTCCTCATCCTTTCATCCCGAGGAAGGACCTTCTTCGTCCGTCCTTCTGCCACTCCGCCTTTTCCTCTCTCCTGTACTTCGTTCCTCTCCTGCTCCTTGCCCTGCTCCCTCCTCCTGCTCATCCCTCCTCCTGATCTTGTCGTTCCCTCGCCTCCTCCTCCGCTTCTCTCTGACAGGGACGGGTGCGTGCCCGATCTGCAGCGCAAGATCATGGAGGAGCTGAGGGGCGAGTGCATCGCTGGCGACCTAGGACTGGCCGGGGGGGTCCCCCCCTCCCCGTTCTCTTTCGGAGCTGAAACACACATCCTCGGCAAAAGCATGGGCGGCGCGGCCTGGCACGCTCCGCGCGCCATGGAAGAGGGGTCAAGTGCGGACGGGACTTCAGAAAATGATAGTGATGCAGTTGTTTGTTCTTCGAATCCGGTTCACATGATGAATGCATGACCTCCTCTGGTTTCTCAAGTCCCGCCCTTGCAGATGATTGATTTCCGCGTAGGGCGCGGCCGTATCTGCGTCGTTTGCGGTTCATTATGGCTTTTCCGTTATGTCGTTTCTTCTCAGCAGCTTGATTGCGACGAGATTGTGATTGCGATGGTGTTTGTGACGTGGACGACGGCGATGACCACGCTCTTCTATCGGAGTTGGTCTCGCCGAGACGTATTTGATCACACCACCGCCTTTTTTGGAATCGAATCGGAGTGCTCCTGTGGTGATCAACTTGCCGTTGGAGAGTCGTCCCCCGTTCGCGACGCGAGCGGTGGAGGTGGTCGAATGCCTCCCGACCGTGTCCCCGTTCGGCAGGGGGGGCCCAGTTGAGACAACTGCGGCCCTTCCGCCCAGCCCAAATCCGTTTCAAGTCGGGCCGTGGACCCCTCCAGGGCAAGTCCTCCTCCCTCCTCGCTCCTCGCTCCTCCCTCCGCCCCCCCTCTCTGCCTCCATCCCTCCCTCTCTGCCTCCCTCCCTCCCTCCCTCCCTCGCTCCTCTTCCTCATCCGCCTCCTCCGCCTCCCTCTGATGCTCGTACGGTTGCTCTCGTAGCCCTGTGTTCACGGCCCGTGCTCTAAGACGGATCCAGCCGTGACGAAGGGGAAGCCCTGCAGGGGATTCCCAAAGGGAGACAGAGAGATGCTAGCGAAGGCCGCCGCTGTCTTGGCTTGCCCTTCCCGCACCCCGGACATCCGCCGACCTGCTTTTGTTCAACCCGCGGCCACAGAGCTCCCGACCCCTTCCCCCGGGCCTCGCCCTGTGCGGCCCCGCTGCCCAAGAGCGGTCCCCGAGGGCCGACACGGCAGAACCACCGCCCGGTGAACAAAAGGCATGTCCTCGGAGATCGGGGTCCCGCGCCCGCCTCTGGGAGGCGTGGACGAGGCCTTCGACGTCCAGATCCAGCTGGTCATCGGGGGAAGGAGAAGCGACACCACCAGCAGCAGGGGGGGCCACCTCGGGCGAGGAGGTCCACGTCCACGATATACCTCCCAAGCTGGGGTCAGGGGATGTCTCGAGCGAGAGGGAGGGACCACGCCGCCAAGGGAAGGGACCCCCTCCCCCCCCCTGGCCCAGTCTCCTCCCCCTGGTGGTCCTCAGAGGAGGAATACGGACCACCGCCACCAAGAGCCCATCGGCGAGGGGCCGGCCCCTGGGCGGTGGCACGCCTGAACGCCATCTTGCACTGGGGTGACGCTCCCCGCCGTGCCACCGGCCCGGCTTCGGCCCCCCACTGATGGGCTCTCGGTGGTGGTGGTGGTGGTGGTGGTGCTGGTGCTGGTGCTGGTGCTGGTGCTGGTGCTGGTGCTGGTGCTGGTGCTGGTGGTGCTGGTGGTGGTGGTGGTGGTGGTGGTCCTTGTCTCTCGGGGGGAGAGACACACGCATACATACATAAATGTCCGTCGATTCCCCGGAAAAGGTGGAAGACATGGGAAGTGGAGTGAGAGATGGAAGTCCAGAGAACATGGAAAATATTGGAATCTTGGGATCTGTGCGAAATATTTGGTGTGAGTCCTTGGGCCCTTTCAAATTCCCGTCCTGGCGGTGGTGCTTGCTCCGAGGTCATCCGCGCCGGCTGCTCCGAGTTCCTCTGGGAGCCGGGGGCGGACGTCCAGCTCCGCTGCGACGACCGCGTCTACTACGAGCAGGCTCGCGCGGCCGCCGCTCCCGCGGCCGCTGGCGCGGGCGGCGGCGCCGCCCGCCGCCGCCTCGGAGCCCGCAGGGCCCCGCCATGCCCCGCCCCTCCCCTCGGTCGAGTTTTGCGGCGCTCGTGTCCCCGTCTTTTGGGGGGGGGGGGGTCAGCCACGCGCTGAGGGGAATGGGGTGAGGGGGAGGGCTTCTTGGAGGCACCCCCCGCATCTCAGAAGGCGCGGGCCTTATCTGCAGATGCAAGGCCGGCGCCTCCTAAGAAGCAGCGTCCTTCCCTGAAGCCCTCCCCCCTCCCTCCACCCTCATTGTGCGCGCCGCCAAGGGGGGGGAAGGCGGGCGAGACCACCACCACCAGCCAGGGCTGCGCGCCGCCCCGCCCCCCTTGCCGTCCCGCGCCCCCCCCCCCGCCGGCCCCGCGCCTCTGCCCCCCTCTCCTGGGTCGTCTCCCCGCCCCTGCCCCTGCCCCTGGCCCAATCCCACCTCAATGGCAGGTTTCGCTTCGCGATTTGACCATTCCCGTTCCCGTTCCCATTCGCTCCCCATTGAGGCCGCCCTCCGTCGCCACCCGCCCGAGCCGTGGCCGGGGACAAGGCCGGGGCGAGGGCCGAGACTTGGAGGGTGAAAGTGGGGGTCGGGCGCAGGGTACCGGCAATGGTGTCTTTATGGGCCTTGCATGGGCGATACATCCTCGATTGTTTTGTTCGGCGGGGGACCAATTGAAGCTCCCCGCCTGCACCCATGCGCGAGACTTGAGGCTAAACGAAGCAAGGGGGCGGGAGGTTCGGGAAAGGCGACGAAGGCAACGTGCACTGAGGGCGCAAAAGAAAGGTTTGAATAAACAAAAGCGGTGAGGTGAGTATTACAATTTGCCCACCCAATCTGACATACGAAACACTGCGCTTCAGTTTGGGGGATCGTGAAGACCAGGGCAAAATGTGAATTCACAGTGTGGGGAAAAGCAAATTGTGAGTTCACTTTGTGGGACAAAGGAAAATGTGAATGCACATTTTGGAAAAAAAAGGAAAATATGGATTCACATGTTGAAGTGTTGTGTAGGAATCTGCATAAAAAGGGCCAGAATGTGCATTCACATTTGGGAAAAAGGAAAATGTGAATTCACACTTTGGAAAAAAAGGAAAATGTGAATTCACAATTTGTGAGAATCGCGGGACCCATTCCAAATTTGTCTTAGGGGTGGACAAGCTATCGCCTGGGTACATACACGATCATCAATCGCACAGTCAAGACACACTTGCACTCCACTTCGCCGCTCCACGCGCAATATGCAAGAACGCCCGCACGAATGAACGATAATGGATGGACGGCGCGTTTGCCCGCGCGGGGAACGCGCGGGCACGAACGACTGGCTCTCCATGACCGCCAACATTGGATGCCACTCGTACCCGATCACACACATGAGCGATACATTGAGCATACATGGGCCATTCAGCCCCCATTGATGACCCCCTGTTGCAGACCCCCTCTTTCACCCTCCAAGAGACGGGTGCTGGAGCAGGTCACGAAGACGAAGCCTGGGCCGGGGCCGGGCCCCCCCTCTCTCCGCCCGCCGTCTCCCGCCCCCCCTCCGCCCGGCCTTCTTGTGTCGTTCTGCTGGCCCCTCACGCCCCCCTCGTCGCGGCATTCCTCCCCGCCCTGCCTCGCCTCCCCGCCCCCGGAGGGAAGGCTTCCCTCCGGGGGCGGCCAAGAGGGGGTGATGACTATAGGGGGGGTGGATACCATGGCGAGGGGCCGCGGTATCTCCCCAGATTTCATGGCGCCTCTTATCATTTCAATGCGTCCCCGGTCCCCTGCCCCCTCTGGGCGCCGCCGGCCATGATTTGCCCCCCCCCCCCCTCTTGGGCGCCCCCCTGTTGGTCGCCCCCGATCCCTTCCTCCCACCCCCCTCCCCCCTTCCTGCTGTTCTGTGAGCCCACAGAGGACACGGGTGCCGACGCTTTGGGCAAAGCGCGGGCAAGCATGAAACGGAAAATTCACTTTATTATTTTGTAGGAGCTGTTTGCTAAAGGAAAGTAGCCTTTTAGTATTGTGCTGTTGCTTTGTTGCGCGACAACCGCGGCGGCGCGTCCGAATTGCCGAGCCACGTCCTGTGCTCGCGCCCTGAATCTCCTGTCACGGAGCATGTACAATACGTTGAAAATAGGTCCAAGGATCGCCGCGACCCGATGCAACGCGACCCTGATTACTCGAGCATTTGCATCGCGGGGTGAACTGGCAGGGAAGACAAGGGCCCCGCGCCCCCCGACTGGGCACTGGCCCCGCATCCCCAGGGCTTTACGAAGGCAGACCGCGGACCTTTATGAAAGCGAAGAAACGGCTTTACTAAAGCGAGGAAGCGGCTTTACTAAAGCGAGGAAGCGGCTCTTATAAAGCGAGGAAGCGGCTTCATTAAAGCGCAGGAGCGGCTTTAGTAAAGGCGCGCCGCTCTCCGAACAAGAAAAGAACCGTTTTATTCAAGTAAAAAGAGAGCGTTAGTAAAAGGGAAAGACGGCTGGGGTAAAATTGCGCACGGCAATTCCGCTCCTCCCGTAAAATTTGGCGCGGGACTCCAAGAACGAGGGCGGGGCGCACGTTCGCCCGTGGGCCCGGGCCCTGTCGCCGCCGTCGCCGCGATGTTCGTCGTCGGCGCCGTCGCCGTTGCCGCCGTCGTCGTCACCGTCGGCGCAAACGCCGCAGTCGTCGTCGCCGTCGCCGTCGTCGTCGCCGCGGCGCCCGCGCAGTCACGTTGTTACCCAGCGGCGGGTCGCGCGCGACCGCGCGCGCCTTTGCGCTCGCATGTCCGCTCCTCCGACGCCGGGCCCGGGCGGACATCGTGCTTCGCTTCCGCCCACCATTTTAAAATTGACAGTGGGCAAATTATGCCTCGCTCAGCAGTGTCCAGGCGTGGATTCTTGTCGGGGCGCTCCTTTGGCCCTCTTCGGCCCGAAAACTCCGGCTGGAATTCCACCGGAATTCCACGGGGCAGGGCGGGGCCAGGAGGCGCTCCCTCCGTCCGCCCCTTCCGTGGCGTCGTCGTCTCCCTCCCCCTCCTCCTCCTCCTCCTCTTCCTCCTCCTCCTCCTCCTCCTTCTCCTCCTTCTCCTCCTTGGCCCAGTGGCCTCAGCGTGCGAGGCCCGCTCCAATTGCCGGTGTGGTGGGTCTCGACACCGTTGGTCTGCTTCGTGGGCGGCTCGCTGCTGTCCTCCACGGTTGCAGTGCCGCATTTTCTTTGTAGAAAGGAGGAGGAGGAGGAGGAGGAGGAGGAGGAGGAGGCAGATCCGCTCGCAGTTGCACTCCATGACGTCGCTGTGGTTGGAACTTGAGGTGGGTGTCGTCGGGGTGGCGGCTGTGCACCGTGGCGCGCAGCAGGGAGCTGGCGTGCCGTGTAGAGCTGGTGCTGGACGTCGTGGTCAAGAAGTTGTCGTGCAGCGCCGATTCGCGGAAGTAATCGTGCTTGAGCTCGCTGTTCGCGTAGCCGACGGTGCCACGCCGGGTTTGTCGACGAAGTCGTGTGTCCTGAGGGGGAGAGGACATAGCCGAAACATAATGCAAAAGGTATGGCTTGAAAAAGGATGCAAAAGTGGATGGTAAGTAGGACGGGTTTACGGTCGAGGCTGGCCCCCCAGGTTTGGCACATTGCATCGGCGTTTTGGGCCCGAGGCTCTACTCCTCCTCCTCCTCCTCCTCCTCCTCCTCCTCCTCCTCCTCCTTCTCATCCCCCCTCCTCCTCCTCCTCCCTCCCCCATCCTCTCCCGAGGCGCATATCTGTAGCGAGGAGCGGCGGCAGCGCTACTACCGCAACGGGCGGAGCCCCGCCGAGATGGCCAGGACGGCCCCCGCGGATGACCCATACTTCGCCAAGCCATTTGGGATAGGTCTGCGTTGGTTTCGGAGACAGGGCTGGCTGTTCAGGATCTTCCTTGGGTTCCAGGCCTCCCTCACGGGGTCAGAGTAGATGGTGTCGGAGGATCACGCCGCATCGCCGATGCATCGGCGATGCGGCTCGATGTAGAGCCCGATGCGATGTGGAGCCCGGCTCCGCGCCGATGACGACGATGCATGCCGACGTCCCCAATGCATCGCCGATTCATCGGCGGTGGGGCGCGATCCTCCGATCTCATCTGCTCGGACGCCATGTAGGAGGCCTCCAACAAGAACCACATAGGTTTCGGAGGCACTCGCTGTTCAGGCAAGCCGACGTCCCCATTGCATCGCCGAGACTCGGCGGTGAAGCGCGATCCTCCGAGCCCATCTGCTCGGATGCCATTTTGGAGGCCTCCAGCGACGAGCCTCGGCGAGGAGGAGACCCCGTGGACTGGAGGAGGAGACATCCAGCGACGAGCCTCGGCAAGGAGGAGACCCCCTGGACTGGAGGAGGAGGAGGAGGAGGAGGAGGAGGAGGGAGGAGGAGGAGGAGGAGGAGGCGGGAGGCGGGAGGCGGGAGGTGGAGGAGGAGAAGGAGGAGGAAGAGGAGGAGGAAGAGGAGTCAGAGGAGGAGGGGGAGTCAGAGGAGGAGGGGGAGTAGGGGCAGGAGGTTGAGGAAGAAGAGGAGAAAGAGGAGGCACAGACATCGAGAAACACTACGTCTACGTCGCAGAGCGATACGACATCGGGAAAAACTACGCCACACATGCAACGGCAAAAAGAAAGTGTTACAACCAGAGCGAACTATACCCAATAGTACCTTGAATCAGAAAAAGGTGAAGCACGACAAACAAAGATACGAAGCCAGCCGCGAATACATCCAACCCGAGCCCCCGCGGATGCCGCTACCACCGACGCAGACCAATGACGACGCACCAACGGCCCAATAGCAAGACGACCAGTACACAGGCTACGACATGTCAGCATCAAAGGACAGCAACAGCGACAGAGACGACCCATGGGCCAAGATGGGCAGAGCATCCGACTTCCACGAAGCATGCCTATCACCGTTCAAACCAAACAACTACCACGTCATGCACCTACCCAGTGTTTGGACCACCTTCTGTCACTACGCCGACGAGGTAGACTAGGATGTCCACGGAGAAGACCCTATGGCACCATGCAGTATACTATCACCAAGCAACCAACACATACACATACAGGCTCCCCAGCGACTATTGACTACTACCTGGATGGCACATATACTTCACCAAGTACAAGGACGAGACCTTTGCCCACCATGCCGGCAAGCAGTACCTACCACACCCACTTCTGCGACCAGACTCCCAATCCATGCCACGAACCACCTACAACCTACCCGTTACGACTTGCACGAAATGGATCAAGCTCTTCAACAACGTCAAAGCGGATTTGCACCAACCACTGAACAATCCGCCCAAGCACCCGCGATGCGGCATCGATTTACAAGCATTCGCGGCACAATACCGCGACAGCTTAGCATTTAGAGTACAAGTCGTCCAGACATACGACCGCATCGTCACACTGACTGCAAGGGGACATGCACTGCTCGACAACGCCAAGGTCGCAGCCATACAGGAAGCCGCACAATGTCTCAACTCCTGCCACGACAAGCACGACATGGAGTACAACTGGGCAGTACGGCTACGCGACACAGCGCATCTACTACAACACATCTGCAATCCTCATGACCCAAGGCCACACCTCACCAGCAAATGCGACGACAACGACAGCTCCAACGACAAAGAAAGCATGACCAGCACAGCACAAAAGACCATGCAAACACCAACCAAACCACCACCACCATCAACGCAGCCCATGCTCAAACCGCTAGCACCCACGCTACCACCATCTTGGACTGCTGACAGCACCCCGACCAGCCCAACAAACACAGCTAACAACCCACACAGCCAAGAAGCGGAACACCTGCCTACACAGCAGCCGTCGCAACTTACAGGGGTCGCACAGCCAGCAAACACAAAGCATGACGGCCCACCACGCACGCAACCAAAACAGAACACAATCCCGAGCAAGCCCATGCCAAAGTTGCACATCAGTAAGACGACCACTGTTTTTACGACTGCGCCACGCCAGAGACCATACAAGCCATGCCAGCTCACGTTGCCCAGCTACTGCTGGACACGCCCAACACCTTCAACACAACAACACCGGCAGCTACACCCACAGCAGCACTCATAGCAATGATCACATTGTCGCGCTCGTACATCTACATGCCGTCACACCCACCGCCGCTTGCACTTACCCGCCAGAAGAGGACATCAACAGCGATAACTAGAAGCCATCCCTGGGCGACAGCTACCGCCGCAGACACTAGCGACACGGCGCACTCACTTCCCGTCGCACGCCGCTCAAGCAATCGCAGCACGCCAAGAAGCAGCACGATGCGGAGAGCAACATATACACGTCGTCAACCGACGCATCACCTTCATCAATAAGACGGGCGACCCCACGCTCTAGAACTACATCGACAGGTCACGCGCGCGCCAAGATCGCTACGAGATATACCTCGGCAGCGTAAACGAACACCCATGTGGACCACCATTCAGGGAGCCACCGCTCAAGCACATGGTAACTATACACAAGGCCGCCCCCAAGTCCAAGCTGACAATCAGCACGACGAGCCAACCGAACTAGACATGACGATCGACCTCATGCTCGGTGCGTACGGCAGACCACCGCAACATCCACAACGAGTACTCCGAGTGGGTCAAATACCGCAGAAGGATACCCTAATGGCGAGACAGCACGACCTTGCCAGCAGTCGGACAGTCTGTTTTGACCACTGACCTGCAATGCACTCCTCTTCTCTTTCCCCGCGGCTCTTTTGACGCGTCAGTGGTGCTCGCTACTCGTAGGCTTGGGGGTACCCCGCAAAGCCCTCGGCGGCGGCCCTAGGGTTGCTTTCGTTTCTTGTTTCTCGCGCGCACGCACGCGCACGCGCCCTTCACCCTTCTTACTTGGTCTTTTCAGCGCACATGCTTCCTTCTCACCTCGATAAGATATGCGTGTCTCGGCGTGCCAACTGACCCGCGTGGGCCAGCGCTGTCGCGGTTGAAATCGTCGCCCGGCGCGGAGTACTTGAGAGTGCCCAGCCAGTGCCAGCAGCCGCCAGGCAAGCGCATTCTTGGACCTGCGCCAGAGTTAGCGGGCGATAGATCTGCTGACATGAATGGAAAGTTTGACAGTTTGTTTGGCACCTTGGGCGTGCTAGCATGATGCCACTCGCCCTGTCTCCCCCCTCTCGCGTTGCTTTCTCTGCTGTCGCCTGCGAATGTTTTTGGCGCTCTACATTCGGCCCATGAGGATCGCTACCTGCGGGGTGCGGCGGGTGGGGCGGGGTCGGCGGGGGCGGGGGCGAGCTGGTTGGCGCTCTCCTTATGGCAGGTTTGAGGTCATCCTATAATCCCAGGGCAGCAGCCCCAAGATTGCACGGCATCTCCCGAGCCTAGCGAACCTCCGTTCTATTTGCAGTTGGACGCTGAAGGCTTGCATCCCGGCGACATCGCGCCACGCTGCCCCGCAGCAGCATTTGTAAAATTTTCTTCCGCGGCAATCAGCTCGAGCAATCTGCGCGCGCATGAGGATGTACCAGCGCCCACTTGCAGACAGAGGCCCTTGCCCCAGAGGCCAGCCATGACGGGCCAGCCTGCCACACCTATCACTACTCTGTCTCGATGACCATTGGGCCCGTGCTCAACCCGAGAAGAATCGCGCAGAAAGCGCGCGGGACCTAGGGCCGATGCGGCTTGGAGTAGACCCAGAAAGCCCTGGGCGGCAACCTTAGAACTGCCGCGCTTGCACGTTCTGCGTTGCACGCGGCCCACGTGACTGCGGAGGTGGGGGGTGCACGTTGGAGGGGGCGGCGGGGGACCTGCGAGCCTGCGTCTGCAGGCACAGCGGCGCACCGGCTCGCGGCAACAATGGGCAAGCAGTCTATTCTCCGGGCAGCCAGTTACTGGATGCATCCGTTGGTTAGCACGGCCAGCAACGCAACCCTATTCGACCCAGGCAGGCCAGCCTGTGCGGGACGGCCTCGGCATCGCAGAATGCCGCAGCAAGTAACGCAGCCTCACCACCTATGTACTCGGCACAAGCATCGGCGTGCACATTCTACTGCTATCATGCAGCCTGTATCATCAGGCCACTTTGCAGACTCTCATATCTGCCTAGATCTGCCTGCGCCTCCCCCAGCCGACAACTTACTGGCTACAGTGAGCTGCCATCTTGGCACGTCAGTATGGGAATGGCCCATCATTCCCACTCTGGAATACTGACAACGCGCAGAGCAGCAATTTTCAACAGTACTAGCCAGCACCTCTCGTCAGACACTTACTAGACTGATCGCAATGCACGACTCCTCCGTCTCCCTCGCGGCTCCTTTTTTTGACGCGTCAATGTACTTCTTCTTTGGCAGCCCTAGGATTGAAACTTCGCGCGCTGCACCTCGCCATTCGACCTGCCCCCCACGGTCATCTTTTACTTTTTGCAGTCGGCCCAGATGGCACTTATGCCGTGGACCGGGGGGGATATTCGGCGTGGGTTTGGCGTGTCCGGCGCGACCTCCCCAGGTTTGGGGTTGCCTTGCAAAGCTGTGGGTTGCGGCCCCCGAGTCGCACATCATTTCACGTGCGTTTGCTCGCCATCTCTCAGCATTTCATGTTATAGAATCTTTTACCGCGTGAGCAGCTCGCAATAACTGCTACAATGCAGCCTGTATCATCAGGCCACTTTGCAGACACTCGTATCTGGCGAATGTGACTGTGCATTTTCTTTCCCCTGCTGACAACTTACTGGCTACATTGAGCTGCCATTTAGGCGCGTCAGTAGGGGAATGACCTGTCATTCCCACTGTGGACTACTGACCTCGCGCAGTACAGTAATCTTCAGCAGTGCTAGCCAACACTTCTGGGCAGACACAGGTGGCGCAGTTTTTCCTCAGGCTGAGGCTGCATCTTCTGTAAAAGACAGCCGACTTACATCGCGGCAGCCCCGACCACGTGGCGCCCTAACGCCACATTTCTCTTGTGCACCAGCGCCTTGGATGCCGCAACAGAAACGGTGCCATTCTTCTCAACTTGTAGTCTTCTCTCTTGTTCTACAGCGGAGGATGCGTGAGCGATCTGCCCACGTTCCCGCTGCTGCAACGACTTTCGTGCCATCTTCGCCCACAAAACATGTATATCAAAGATGGGACTTATTCTTCATGGTTTCATGTGCCGTACTTATTGTGATACTTGAAGTTGCGTATCATGCATTGCTCTATTACCGAGGCGGCGCCACCAATTAAACTAAGGGCTCAATTGTCTATGAATCTTAATACTGGGGGTTCTATCCACCAAGGTGCGCGCCGACCTCGAAGACTTGGCGGGACTCTTCTTTCTCTATTCTGCGTCTTTCTTTTCCGTCGTTCATTTCCCGCGGCGCCCGCCAGGCGCATCTCGAGCCGAGTCGTTTCTCTACCGCCCCCGTACTTCTTTTCTCCGCTCATCACCAACGCCTCAGCGTCACGCTAGTGGTAGTCCAACGGAGAAAAGCGGAGGTACTCGCTGCTCCGGTTCCTCTTTGGGTGCTCCTCCGGCCCCCGCCGTGCACAAGGGGACGGCGCGGCTGGAGCCCCCCGCCGGGGCGCCCTCCCCGTGTGAGCGAGCCTGCGCTTGCACCCCAGAGGGGCGCGCGGTTGGCATCCTCGGGTCCTCGGGGCTCCGGAGACGGGGGTCGATGCAAACGGGGGTCAGCCAGAGCGACGGACCTTGTAGGATTTTTTGAAAAGCCAGGGCTGCAGTGACCTGGGCTAGGGCGCAGGATCCTGCAGGATTGCGCAGAGCCTGACTGACCCGGGTTTGGATTGGCCCGGGTCAGCACATCCCCAACAGCCTCGCCAACGCTCACAGCTCGGCCCCCGCCGCGGACAGCCCTTACACGCCGAAGGCGCTCTGGGCACACGTCGCGCTGCACCGACGATGCGAGGTGATGGACCGCCCGCCTGGGTTCGGGCACCCCCGACCCACGCCCATCACCGAATCGCACAGCCTTGCTGCCTCGAACTTTGGACGCCGACAGGGCAGGGCATGGATCCTGGAGCATCAGAGACGGGTGAAGCACATCCGAAGATTCCGAACTGCCCACTCTCGGGCCGCGCGGGGGAAGCTTGGAATCCGGTTTGAAGTCAGCTCCTGCGTTCGATGTCCACGCCGAGATTTGCGCTGGCAGATGGGGCGCCGGAGTGGAGAGTGGAGAGGCGCGTCGATCATGATACCTAAGTTCCCAAGCCGGATCGGTATGTGAGGGCCCGAGGCCGCCAGTTGGGCAAGGATGCCAAGCCTGACTGTTTCCATGTTTCTCAGTGCGGGATCCGTCAAATTTCTGAAGGGGACGCGTTGGCTGGCCCCGGGAGGTTCGGGGCGGCCCTGGCCGTGGCGGCCAAAACAAAGGCCGCGAGTGTGAGGAGGACGGGGGGACGGTTGAGGTGCTCTGCGCCTCACAGCCTGCCTAAGAACATGGAGGTGTTCATCTCCCCTCCTTCCGAGGTGCTCTACCATCATTGCCGTTACCCTTCCTGTTCTCTCTCATTGCCTCGTCTTCTCTTCTGTCCTTGCCACCGGCCGGCGGGAGGGTTCGAGGGCATCGGGGCGATCGCTCGACATTGTCCGCATCACCGAGTCACTGGACTGGGGAGGAGGAGGACGAGGAGGAGGAGGAGGAGGACGAGGAGGAGGAGGAGGAGGAGGAGGAGGAGGAGGGGGCGGGGCGGGTGAGGGGGCGGGGGAAGGGGAGGGGGCGGGGGAGGGGGAGGAGGAGGAGGAGGAGGAGGAAGAGGCAGAGGCAGAGGAAGAAGAAGAAGAAGATGATGATGATGCCGACGATGATACTGATGCTGATGATGATGATGATGATGCTGATGACGGTGATGATGGTGATGATGATGATGTTGATGATGATGATGATGATAATCATGATGCTGATGATGATGATGATGATGCTGATGCTGATGCTGATTCTGATGATGATGATGATGATGATGATGATGGTGCTGGTGGTGATGATGGTGAAGATGATGGTGGTGGTGATGATGATAATGACGATGATGAGGAGGAGGAGGAAACTAGCTTCATCACAGATGTCGTGCACTGTGGTTTTCCATCCCTTCCGCAGTTCCACATGTGAGAATGCTGGACGCTTACGATGTGTTCCGAGAGCAGGAGGAGGAGGAGGAGGAGGAGGAGGAGGAGGAGGATCGGGAGGAGGAATAGGAGGAGGAAGAGGAGGAGGAGGAGGAGGAGGAGGAGGAGGAGGAGGCGAAGTGGCTGTGGTGATGGTTGCAGGCAGCCCAGGCCCAGAGCCCTGCGGACAGGGGGGGGGGCTCGGGTGTGACTAGCGCTCCGCGCAAGGCCCAGCAGCCAGGACAATGGCACCTCGCTGTTTTCATGGTTGAATCGCTTCGCTCATGCCGCAGGCTCATCGTGCATCACTGGTGCCATGGGCTTGTGTGTTCGAGGCGAGCGAAAAGGAGGAAGAGGAGGAGGAGGAGGAGAAGGAGGAGGAAGAGGGGGGAATCAGGATGAGGAGGAGGCCTCGCGATTGCCGTCTTGATGACTCACTGTAGCGCTCTTCGTTCGAGGATTAAGGTTCGTTGACGCAGATGGGGGAGAAGGAGGAGGGGGAAGGAAAAAGGAAGAGTTGGTGAGACTATAGGAGTCCTCTCGGGGGCTTCTTGGTGGTATTTCTGGGACCTCCTGGGGCGTCACGGGGGCCTCTTTTGGCTCTTGGATGTCGCTTGGGGCTTCTTGGGGGCCTCTTTGGGGCTTCTTGGGGGCCGCTTGCGGTCTCCAGGGGACCTCTCTGCGCCTAGAGCTCGAACTGTCCATTCGGGTCCCCCGTCTGGGCCCGTTCTTGGAGCCGTCTTGGGAGCCTCGTCGGCCATCTTGGAGGCCTCTTGGGCTGTCATTGGGCCCTCTGGGGCCGTTGTGCGCTCTTGGAGGCCTCTTGGGCCGGCAAGAACGCCCAAACCCTTCAAACATTGAAGGGAAATCTCGAACTTCTGCCTCTGTGAGTCGTCTTGGGAAATCTCTTGGAGGCATCTTGGGGCATCTTGAAGGCGCTTTGGCTTTCTGGAGGCCGTCTTCGGCGTCTTGGATCGCTCTTGAACCGTCTCGGACCGTGTTGAGCTCTCTTGGAGGCCACTTGGAGCGTTCCTGGAGCGCTCTTGGGAACTTGCTGGGACCTGGCCGGGACCTGGCTGGGACCTGGCCGGGACTTTGCCGGGACCTTGCCCGAGTACTTTTCGTCCGGGGACCCCCAGGGGCAGCCCCGCCCGCGCGAACTAGAAAGATTGTTGACCAGTTACCGGAGACCTTAGCACGCCTCTGGCCCGTTAGGCCAGCGAATTGAGGAGGAGGAGGGCGATGAGAAGGAGGAGGAAGAGGAGGAGGAGGAGGAGAGGGATGAAGAGGGGGAGGTGGAGGAAATGGAGGGCAGGAGGAGGATCACTTCCATTCTTCCACGCACCTCTTGCCCCCATCTCCCGGAGGAGGCTGAGCGACTTCGAGGCCCTCCTCACGGGCGGCAGGGAAGACCAGGCGGCATCGCGCGGCCACGCCCGCTTTTCCCCCTCTGTCTGCATCCCTTTTACCTCCTGGCGGATTCCCGAGGAAACGGAGGAAACGACTCCAGGCATTCTCGCTCGCGGGAGAAAGACCCTCCTCCTCATCTGTCTCTTCCGCGTGCCTCCTCTGCTTGCGTCTCTGCCTTCTCTGAGTCCCCGTCTTCTGCGCCTTGCTCCTCCTCCGTTTCCGCATGCTCTTCTTCCTCCTAGACCACCGTTGTCTCTGCCTTCTCTGCCTCGCCTTCTGCCTCCTCCTCCTCCTTCTACGCTTTCTCTCCATTCTTATCCTTTCCCTCCTCCTCCTCCTCCTCCTCCTCCTCCTCCTCCTCCTCCTCCTCCTCCCCCCTTGTCGACCTGCGCTGAGCATGCCTGGAAGTGGGTTTGCGAGGGCAGGCGCCCGAAGCTCCTGGAAGTCCAGGCCAAGCCGTCTTCCATGTTTGAAAGCTGCCGGCATGTTTCACGCTGGTGGGAGCTCCTGGCTTCTCCTGCCTCCTGCTCCACAGCATTTCCCCAGCTCACCTGGCCTTCCCGCCCCGCGCCTCGTCGCCTCTCCTCCTCCGCCTCATCCTCCTTTCCATCCTTTTACTCCCTTTTCCTCCTGCCTATACTCCTGCTTACCTGCCTCCCCCTCGTCCTCCTTTCCTCCTTCTCCTCCTCGTCCTCCTCCTATGTACGCGGTTTCCTTTGGCCTGATTGCTCAAAATACGATGGGGTATTTTTGGTAGTTCCAGGTCGGCTATGACACGTGACCGCGGATAGAGAGGTAAACAGCGCAGTTGGATGGATGGGAGGGAGGGATCGGATATCATATATGTCGCGAGCACACCGAGTTCCCCCCCTCGCCCCCCTTCGTCCTCCTCCCCGCCCGCTCCGCCCTTCTTCCCCGCCCGCTCCCGTTCGTCCACTCGCCTCGCGCCCGCCTCGCCAGCGCGCGCGCGCAGGTGCACGAGGATCGGCGGGCGGCGAGCGCAAGGGGGGAAGTGAGAAGGAGGAGGCCCTCTCGGAAGGCGGCGGGGCTTCTCGGAAGCCTCTGGCCTCTCGAGAGGGCTTCCGTGCCTTCGGGGAAGGCTTGGGGGATTTCCGAGCCTTCTGAGAGAGGCCCGCGCTTTCTCACTTCTGCCCCCGGGGGCTCGCCGCCGAGAGGAGGACTTCGAGTTCGTGGAGATGACCGCCCGCAGCGAGTCCGGCGCGGCGGAAGGAGCGACGAACGGCGCGCCGCGGCGGCCACTCTTGCGGCGGCCCGCTGCGCGGTCGGGCAGGGAGACAGAGGCTGCCCCAGGGGCGGCGGGGACGGTGGACTCAGGGAGGGATGCAACGTTTCGGGAGTTTGCCCTTGAGAGCGCATACGCTCTTGTGTGTGTTCCTTTATGGGGGCTTCAGAGGGTTCCAAATTCACTGCGGTCTGAGGGGGTCGTCCTGATTGAGTCGGATTTGGGGAGCTTCACCGAGGGCGCCCGTGGCAGGGTTCGCATGGCGGCCTCGCCCCATTTCGGCGCACCCCTCATGAGGATCGTGGCTTCATAGGAAGCTCCGTCGAGGGCCCCAGTGGTACGGGTCGCATGGTGGTCCCGCCCCATATCGGCGCACCCCTCACGAAGATCGGAGCAATCATTCCCAACCATTATGTGGTCTTGGGTCTTCGTTTTGAAGAGACGGTGCCCCGCTTTCTCCTCCTCTTTCCTTCCTCCTTCTCCTCCTCCTCCTCCTCCTCCTCCTCCGCCTCCGCCTCCTCCTCCTCCTCCTCCCTCCTCCCCCTCCTTGCCTTTGCTTTCCGTGTGTTTCTGTCTCGGTACACCCTTCACACGTGGTGTGGCCCCATACGGGGTTCCACCTAAGGTCCCAGTGGCGCATCCCGCGTTGCGTCCCAGTGGCGCAGCCCGCGTGGCGCCGCCGCCCCATTTGGGCACTCCCGTCACACGTTTCGTGGCCCCATAGGGAGCTTCCTCTAGGGTCCCAGTGGCGCAGCCCGCATGGCGCCGCCGCCCAATTTTGGTCCACCCCTCACACGTTCCGTGGTCCCATAGGGAGCTCCACCGAAGGTCCCAGTGGCGCAGCCCGCGTGGCGCCGCCGCCCCATTTTGGCACACTTCTCACACGCTTCGTGGCCCCATTGGGAGCCCCATCTCGGGTCCCAGTGGCGCAGCCCGCATGGCGGCGCCGCTCCATTGTGGCACACCCCTCCCGCGCTTCGTGGCCCCATAAGGAGCTCCATCTAGGGTCCCAGTGGCGCAGCCCGCATGGCGGCGCCGCCCCAGTCGGGCACACCCTTCGCACGCTTCGTGGCCCCATTAGGAAGCTCCACCGAAGGTCCCAGTGGCGCAGCCCGCGTGGCGCCGCCGCCAAATGTTGGTATACCCCTCACACGTTTCGTGGCCCCATAGGGAGCTCCATCCAAGGTCCCAGTGGCGCAGCCCGCATGGCGCCGCCGCCCCATTTGGGTCCACCTTTCACACGTTTTGTGGCCCCATAGGGAGCTCCATCTAAGGTCCCAGTGGCGCAGCCCGCATGGCGGCGCCGCCCCAGTCTGGCACACCCCTCACACGTTTTGTGGCCCCATAAGGAGCCCCATCTAGGGTCCCAGTGGCGCAGCCCGCATGGCGGCGCCGCCCCAGTCTGGCTCACCCCTCACACGCGTTGTGGCCCCATAGGGAGATCCATCCAAGGTCCTAGTGGCGCAGCCCGCATGGTGCCGCCGCCCCATTTTGGTATACCCCTCACACGCTTCGTGGCCCCATTGGGAGCCCCATCTCGGGTCCCAGTGGCGCAGCCCGCATGGCGCCGCCGCCCCATTTTGGTGCACCCTTCACACGTTTTGTGGCCCCATCGGGAGATCCATCCAAGGTCCCAGTGGCGCAGCCCGCATGGCGTCGCCGCCCCAGTCTGGCACACCCCTCACACGCTTCGTGGCCCCATTGGGAGTCCATCTAGGGTCCCAGTGGCGCAGCCCGCATGGCGGCGCCGCCCCAGTCTGGCACACCCCTCACACGTGTTGTGGCCCCATGGGGAGATCCATCCAAGGTCCCAGTGGCGCAGCCCGCATGGTGGCGCCGCCCTATTGTGGCACACCCCTCACACGTTTCGTGGCCCCTCACACGTTTTGGAGACCTTCTCTCGGTCTCGTGGGCTCTCGCCCTGGGCCGTCGGCTGTCCGGCGCGCTGCTCCCTCGGCCGACGTCGCCCAGGCGTGATCCTGGACTGGCCGCCACGAGGTGGGGAAAGGTAAGAAGGAGGACGACGACTGGTGGCTGGAGCTCTACGCGCTGCTCTCGCGCGCCACACGCAGGACCTCCTGCTCACGAGGGCGCCGCGCATCGAGTTCTTCTTGGCGGGGCCGCTGGAGGGATTGCGGAAGCAGCTGGAGCAGATTGCTACGCGCGCGAAGCGGTGCAGGAGGGAGGCGACGGCCCTCGCTGGGCAGCTGGGCCCCACCGAGCTTATCCGCAAAATCTGATTTGACAAGCGAGCCGCCCGAGCCACGCCGTCTCTCGACGGTCTGATCGTTTGGCTTCGCGCCGCGGGCAACGCGCGCTCGTCGCTGGGGCCCTCTCGGGGCGACCAGCGTGCGTCGCGGGAATTCCCCGCTGCGCTCTGCCCAGAGCCTCGCTCGCCCCCGTCGTCTCTTCTCTGCCCAGCGGCCGCAGCCTTGCCCGCGATCAGCCGGCCAGCTAGCTCTGCTCCTCGCAGCGGACGACCCGCGCACGTCGCTGGGACCCCTTCGGGGCGACCGGCGCACGTCGCGGGGGCTCCGCGCGGCGCCGCGCCCGCAGCTTCGGACGCGGGCGCGCGCGGGCAAAGGGAAAGAAACATATCGGGAAGGAAGCGGGCGCGATCCTTGGGGGGAGCTTGCCGACATGGGCGTCGACGTTCATGCGCGTAGACTGGTTCGCACGCAGACTCGTTCACAATCAGACTCGCTCGCGTTCAGTCTCTCGCGCGCAGACCTATCATCTTCGCTCGCGTCGCGCGCCCCGCCGCGCAGTCCGGCGCGCCCCGCGCGCGGTTCGTGGCCCCATAGGGGGCGCGGGAAAAGATGAGATTCATAATTGCGGCGTTCAGTACGGTTGGGCCCTTCGCCATGACGTTCTGGGTTTTTCTATCGCCCCCCAAAACGAGGCGCCCCATATGGCCTCGGTAACACTGTTGGGCCAGTCCGCCACTCCACAGGCGGACCTGCATGCTTCTATTTTGGTACACGCCCCCGAACTGGAATGGCGCGACTCGGAGTTAGTTTTGTTGTTCGTGCCACACCGGTTTGGCGCAAGGATGTCGCGCGTTTCAGCAAGAATGCCGCTCCATTCGGCACGTCAATTCACTTATTACAAGCACGCACCTTTCTAGTATGCTTGCATGTTCCCGCATCCTTTTTTTATTTATTTTCGGGGATCTGGGGGCGCGGGCGCCGCGCATTTTCTAGAGCACAGTTGCCTTGCGAACGTGAGTCCTGCGTAATCTACTTGGGGCCGTGTCCTTCGGGGCGCGGAATTGGCGCGTTTGCCAAAAGGGTCGTCGCTCTGGCAGCGCTGATGTCTGTAAATGAAAATTGGTCTGGGCTCGGGAGCGCGAGCGTCGCGCTATGTGAAAGGTATCGCGGGATGTGGGGCGCGCGTCCGAGTTCTTCACTTGGGGTAGTCACCCTCTGGGTGCGTAAACTTGTTTTATGTTACAAAAAGGTTGCTGGGGCAACACATCGCAGCGGATTCCGCATATATTAGCGACATAGGGGGCGGGGTGCCGCGGTGAAAGGCGCAGGGGAGGGGTACAGGTATCTTAACCAATCCCCCACATCCCCATTGCAGCAGTGGCCCCAACCAAAGGTGACAGCTCATTGCATGGAGGCCCAACGGGGCGGTTAGCGGATATAAACCGCGCCTTCAATACACCCGAGTCGGCGCGTGCGCGCGTCAATTTGGGATTCGCGGACTCGGCGCGACATGTTTGGAAACAGTATATGTTGCGTGTATATTGGGTTTCGGACCGGGGCCCCGCGTCAGGTCGGCCCGCCGTAGCTTTATCGGAAATGGGAGTCTCGGGGTCCCCAGTTGCCCAGTCATTTAGACGCCGACCACCCCGCACATGCGTTGCCTTGTAGGGAATGCCACGTACAGGTGAAATCGCATATTATTGAAATTCGAAGTACCTTTCGGTACATGTTTGTTTTGTTTTTTTTCTAGAGCTCCAGAAGTAACCGAAGTACCGTTTGAATTGCGCCCGCGCAGCTGCTAACAATCGCTCTCGATGCGGGTGGGCCTTGCGGACGAGGTGGGCTTGAAACCAGCGCGCGCTGTGATCGACGCGTTCTGTCCGTATGAACGCGGGCCCCTTTTCCCCGTCGCGGCCAGCATGCGCATGGAGTCCCGATTCGGTGCGTGCCTCCTCGAGCCGCGTGGCGCGCTCCCTATCTAATTGCATTCGGCCTCATTCGTCGCCGCGCTTGGGTTGATGAACATCGGCCGCTTGAGGCCTTCATGGCGTCTCTTTGAAGGCCTCTGGGTTCTCTCAGACGGGAAGCTCATGCAGGGTCTTGGTAAGGAGCGTCTTGGAGATTCACTGGGCGCCTGGAGGGCGCTTCTTGTGGGCCTCCGGGGTGCGCTTGGGCGCCTCTCGGGGGCGGGTGGCATTTTCGGGTGGGGCACCTCGGGGGGGGATGGCCCCGGGGGCCCCCTGCGAACTGCCCCCATTTCGACTCGCGGCGGCGCTCGTTCGGGGGCCTCCGCGGCCCGCCCAGGGAGTTCTCGGGGGCCGCGCAGCGACGACCTTGGGGACCTCCCGAGCCCTTCTTGGACGCCGGTCAAGCCGAAGATGCATAAGCGAATCGTAGAAGTACGAATCTGGGGATCGTCACGACTCCGGCTTCCCAGGCCAGCCTTCGGGACTTCCGAAATAGCGCGATGGGCCTTCAAGGACTTCCCAGGGCGGCCCCACTGGGTCGTCCTGGCTACGCGTTTCCGGGCGCCTCCGGCGATGCCACACCGTTACCCCCTCTCGAAACATTCGGGCAGCATGCCTTTGTGCACCGCATTCCTCCTGGCTGAAAGGCTCTCAGGTCGTGTAGTCTCTGTAGTGGTGCAAGGTCGGCGCAAGCTCAGTACCAACCGTACGAACCATTGGTAGAACGCTCGGCCCCCACAGCCCTCCACCCCCAACTTTGCAGTTTATGTTGTGGTGTCAACAAAGCGTCACTCGTAACGCGCCTTGCGAGCCCGAAGCGGAGAGCGCTCCCACTCACCCCTGTGTGGTGTCGAGGAAGAGCCACGCATCGCGAGCCCGAAGCGGATAGCGCCCCACCCCCACCCACAGCACAACCCTTGCGGTGTCGAGGACGTGCCACGTTTGCCGCGCGATGCGAGCCCGAAGCGGACAGTGCCCTCACCCCCAGCGCACCTCGTGTGGTGTCGAGGAAGTGCCACGCGTGCCAAGCACTGCGGGCCCGAAGCGGGTATTGCCCCCACCCCCAGCACACCCTCACGCGGTGTCGAGAAAGAACCACGCCTTGCGAGCCCGAAGCGGACAGCGCTCGCACCTCAAGCAAACCCCGCTTGAGGTGTCGAGGAAGTGCCACGCTTGCCAAGCTCCGCGGGCCCGAAGCGGGTATCGCCCCTATCCCCAGCACGCCCTCACGTGGTGTCGAGAAAGAACTACGCCTTGCGAGTCCGAAGCGGATAGCGTTCCCACTCCCAGTGCACCCCGTGTCGTGTCGAGGAAGTGCAGCGCTTGCCACGCTTTGCAAACCCGAAACGGGTAGCGCCCCACCCCAGTACACCCTCACGCGGTGTCGAGATTGATTGTTTCGGCAGCAGATTAGCCAGATCACGATTCTAGTGTGTAGTGTGATGTGCGTGTCATGTGAGCGGCAGGGTCTGCGTCTGTGAGTGTATGCTGTGTGTCCGACTGTATGTTATATCTTGTGGGTGTCGTGTGTGTGTGTGTTGCATGCGTTTGGCGTTTATGATACACTGAACACGCCAGGTATACATTGGCTGTGTAAGGTGTGTGCGCACGGCTGCAAGTGTGTGTGTGTGTGATGCGTGCCTGTGTGTGTGTGTGTGCTTGCGTGTGTGCGTATGTCTGATGTGTGTACAAGCGAGGAGGAGGGGTGAGGACGGAGGTGGGTGAACGCGGGTGCGAAGCGGGAGGGAAGAAATCCAGAGACCCATTGAGCATGTGGCGAACGGTATTGCCCTCCTGATTCTTGGATGGCTTCCCCGATCCGCAGGTCTCACCGTGTTGGCCAAACGCGTGCGGTTTCACCCTCGCAGGCTTACCGCCGAGCTATTGGCAGCGTAGCGCCGATCACAAGTCGATGTTTCTCCCCCGGAGACGGACGGACGGAGGAGGAGGAGGACCGGCTGTTGGAGGAGGAGCAGAAGGACCAGGGAAGCAGGAGGAGGGGGAGCAGGTCCGTACCCCCTCGACCCGCTGTTTGCCCCCCGTTCCCACCCTGGCATCCGCCGATCCGCGGCCCCAGCACTCCCGACCCCCTTCTCTGGGAGAGGGGCTCTTCGCCCCGTCTCCGGAGCAACAACAAAACGAAAACCTTGCCTGCCCCAGTGCACTCGACGAAGCCGGCTCGATCATAGTTGCGGGGAAAAAAACGGCGATGCGGTCCTCTCAGGAGGAGAAAAAACACACACAGACACAATTAATCGTCGATTCCCCAGAATATGTAGGAAAATATAAGCAGTGGGGGGAAGACAGAAACCCAGAAAATATGGGAAACTATGGGGCGTCTTTTTATTTGTGTGTATTTATTTTTGTGTCCCAGGGCCCCTTCATCCTCAGCAGGCTCAAGGTGCTTAAGGGCCGCGGGCGGGAGACCCTTCGGCCAGCCCGAAGGCCTATGTCCATCTGCGCCAACGCCTGCGGCGCGAGCTCCAGGGGCTTGTCGAAGACCTCGTGCCCGTGGACCTTCTCGCACGCCCGTACCTTGCGTCGTAATGTCCCCCGTCTCCATATTTTTGATGGTTCTGGATAGAGGGCTCCAGGAGGCCAGAAACGAGGGAACACTGGGAGCGTGAAAACATCGCAGGAGAGACGCGGCACAAAGTTGTTCGTCTTTGCCGACATTCGCGCGCACGCAGAGCGCGTAAGCGGCCTCGTTTCCAGTGTGGCGTGCCGCGCCGGTGGCCCGCGCGAGCCACCGCGTGAGTTCGCTGTGCCATCTCGCGCAAGGCCCCTGTGTTGTCGTCGCCCGTGTCGTCGGAGGTCTGGGCCCCGTGCCTAAGATCAGACCTCAGAGAAACACTCGCGTCGACATAAACTCTTGGAGTGCCGCGCGGATTTCTCAGATCTGCGCTGGGGCCAGTGGCGGCGCCGCCACCGATCCTTAGGACGTGCGTTAGCCCAACCAATGTGTGTGTGTGTTGCCCCGTTCAGCGTCACTGGTAACACGCAGCCGGTGTTGGCCCTCATCAATGACGTTGCCTGCGTCGTGTTGGAGGGCTTGGGTGGACGAGCACACGGTGGCGCTGACACACGTTCTGAGGATCATCGCGCGGATTGGAAACTGTAAAACTAGAGTTAAGACTAGAGTTCGCCAGAGCTCGTGTTCGCAGACGCTGTCTGACGAGCCCGACCTGGATTTTGATGGTCTAGTTTCTGTGGGATGTCTTCAGCAGGGGCTGGCGTCCAATTTCAGACTGGGTCTCGCCAACTTTCCTGACGGCCCCTTCAGGCCAACCCGAATCCCCCGAATAGGGGTCCACATGCGAACCCTGCCCCTACCCCCCATGATTTCTGAGGGGGAGGGTGGGGCCCACTTCGCTCGGGAGCTCCCGAGCGAAGAGAACCCCGCCCTCCCCCTCAGAAATCGTGGGGGGTATAGGGGTTGGGTTCGCATTTGGCCCCCATACCGAACCCGAGCCTCGCGCCTTCCCTTAAGTCGGGCCTGTCCCTCTACAGGGGGAATATTCAAAAATAGTAAAAAATAGTATGGGGACTATTTTTTGACGATTTTGGGGGCATCTTTTGAGCATCCTGGGAGTATGTTCAAATTTGTCGTCCAAAATCCCCCTGTAGGGGGACAGGCCCGACGTAAGTCTCGCGCCTCCCCGCGAGGAGTGCCGGCCTTCCTGGCCCACTCCGTCACCGGCGACGCGGCCGCCGCCCGCGAGCTGCACCGCCGCTGCGGCGCGCAGCAGGGCTGGCAGCGGCGCCCGAAGGCTGCCGCGGCCCTGCCGCGCCCTGGGCGCGCGCGCGCGCTCCTCGCGCTCCTCCGATGGGCCTGTGTTCCACCGCCACCACCAGAAGTTTGAGGGGGAGGGGGTCCTCCTCCTCCTCATCCTCCTCCTCCTCCTTCTCCTCCTCCTCCTCCGCCTCCGCCTCCTCCTCCTCCCCCTCCTCCTCCTCCTCCTCCTCCTCCTCCTCCTCCTCCTCCTCCTCCTCCTTCTCCTCCTCCTTCCCCCCGTCCAACTTACGGTGGCGGTGGTGGAAAGCAGGCCCGTCATCCTCGCGCGCAGCGATGGGGGCGAGGAGGAGGCCCAGAGGCCCGAGGCCCCGAACCAGAAACGAGCGGCCAGTTCGGGGCCGTGCGGAGCCTCCAGGGGCCCTCGATCGGAGGAGGGAAAGGTACCCAGTCAAGGGCGTAAAAAACGCCCCTACCTTGGTTTATGAGGCGCTGTGCGCTGAACCTCCTGTGGGCTGACAGGGTAAACACTGCGTATCGCGCGTGCCGCGAGGCGTTCTGGCGTCTCTCTGGCCTGTGGACGCTCCCAGGAGGTTTATTGACCACGCACTTGTAACCCAGGGTAGGGGCGTTTTTTCATTCCTCAACCGAGGCCTCGTGGAGCGTCTTGAGGGGATCTTGACGGGACCATGGCCATATTGGAGCGTCTTGGGTGCCTCGGGGATCCTCTTGAAGCTTCTTGGGGATCTCTTGGAAGCATCTTTCTTTGCGGCTTCTTGGGCGCCTCTTAGGGCCGCCGGGGCGCCTCTTGAGGCCCTCTTGGGGCGCTCATGGGAGCCCTTGGGCGTTATTGGGGCCAGCTTGGAGGCGATCGATCAAAGAAGAGGGACCCTTAATTAGGGCCCCCCCGTGGGAGCCCAACCGATCGCCTCTTGGACCCTTCTCGGAGCGCTCTTGGGGCGCTCTTAGGCTTTTTCGGGGCTGGCTTGGGGCTCTCTTGGGCCTCTGTTTGGGCTCTTTGGGGCCATCATGGACCCATCTCGAGGCCTTTGAAGGCTATCGGAAGCGAGCGGGCGAGAAAGCAAGCAACAGTGATTCCCGTTGGTTTCGGAAAGGGTTGGGCCTTTTCAGGGCCTCTTTGGGGAGCTTTTTGGTCACTTGGAGCCGTCTTCGGGCGGTCTTGGGGCCTCTTGGAGCATCGTGGAAGCCATTTTGAGGCATCCTGGGCTATTTCGAGCCTTCTCGAAGGCCATCCTGGACTCTCTGGGGCCCTCGTGGATCCGTTTGGGGGGAAAGAGTACCCTCTGACACTTCCCGACTGGCCCCGTCCAGGTCCAGGGGATGGGGTCGGGGGATTGGTTGAGACACCCTCCTAAGTAGCAAGCCGTCTAGTTCACTCCCACGCGCCCTCCCAACACATGAGAAACACCCGAGCCTCAGCATGTTCAGCGGTGCGGTCATCTTTGGATGGGCAGCTACGGAGAACCAAAACCGAGCCCATGTGCGCGACGCTGGGGCGATGTGCGCTGCGCGTACCAGGCGCGCTACGCGCACCAGGCACCCTTGGGGCCCGAGCGTGCCAGGCACGCCTGGTGCGCCAGATGCGCCACGTGCCTCCGCGTGCGCCAGGTGTGCCGCATATGTCAGCCGCGCCACGTGCGCCACGTTCGGGGCACGTGCAGAGTGTGTCAGGTGCGCCTGCGCACGTGTCAGCCCACATCAGAAAACATGTCGGCCTTGACCATCCATGTCGAAAACCAATGCCCATCATTGTGTATGGTGGGCCTGCGCACAGCAGGCCATACGCCACCACTTGACAGTGATAGCGGGGTTGCCACGCATGATCCAGATTTAGCCGCGAGGTGCATTTTGCATTTGTTTGGCAAGAATGGAGGCCCTGCGCGCAGCAGGCAATATGCTGACACCCCCGCCGTCCCTGTTACAAAAACAATACAAAGTGCTCTCGGGCCCCACGAATATGACTCCAGACTTTGCTTCCAAGTCTATGTTGTATTGTTCTGTTGACAGGGATGGTGGGGGGGCCCTCATGGGGTCCTCATTGTTCCTGGTTGGCTGCCAGTCGCCTGGGGGAGGGGGGGCATATTGATAGGGAACAGAGGTACACCCCTCCCCGAAGGAGAAGAAGAGGGTTGAAAGAGGAAGCTTCCTAGACCACCTACGCCGGGAGGGTTGGTGGGATTCTGGGCAGCACGCGCCCTGGGAGAGGTCCGGAGAGCAGCGGTATCCGTGCTTTTTGGCTTCCCCACTCAAGGGGCCCAAGGACCTCCGCAAAAGAGCTCAGGATGAGAAGCCCGCCCGGGGGAAGCGGTCCAGACCTCCAGGGGCCCGCGCATCGAAAAAAAGAGTTGAGCGCCCGTTGTCCTGGGGGGATCGGAAGGGGGCCGGTTGAGGCGGCCCTCCCTGGCATTTTTTTTCGTCCTCTTTGGGCCCCCTCTGGGGGCCTCTCGGCGCCACGGATGGATCCGCCTCGAGAAGCATGTCAGGATGGACCCCGTCGGAGTCCTGGGGGAACTGGACCGAATCTGAGCCTGGCGACGGGCCCGCCGTTGTTTCAGCTGGCTCTGCCAGCCTGTCCAGGCCGGGCCGGCTCTGCTGGGACGCCTCAGGTCGGCGGCGCGCCGACGGGGGGCGGAGCAACGTGGTCCGGCGTCTTCGCCTGCTCTCGGCGGTTTTCCAGCCTCGGAGGTGTCGGGTGGTGCGCTGGCAGGGGGCGATCAACGGGGGGGGGAAGAAAGGTGCACCTTATGTGCCAGGGCCCTAAGAGGGACCCCCTGGGGCCCAAAAGAGACTCAAAAGGTGCACGTTCCCCCCTCCAACACACACACACACACTTGCACACACATTTGCACACACACACACACATTTACACACACACACACACGCACACTCTCTACTTATCGATTGTCCCCCCATTAAGCAACGCCCGAGGGGGGCTTTCCAGGGGAGCCCGGATCGTCCCAAACGGCCGCCGGTGGCCAATGGTCATATGACTCGAAGGCCAGGCCGCGGGGGCAGGCCTTGTCGCAGGGCGCGGCCCCGGCTGGCGCGCGCACTCTTCGCGCGCAGGTGGGGAGGATGCAGGTGGGGGTGGCGAGGAGGACCGAGGTCAGAGGAGGAACAGGTACCGCTACCGCTATGCTTCCCACTGATTCTGCAGCTTGGGGCCTTTGGGGGGGGACCCCGCGTCGCCACGGACGTATTCGCCTCGGACTTCTGGCCAGAGCGCATCCAAGAAGGGGCCCCGGGGAGTAGCGGTATCGGTACTTGTTGTGATCCAGAGGAGGTGAGAGTATGTAGGAGTGCGAGGGAAGAGGAGCAAGAGAGCGAGGAGGTGGAGGAGGAGGAGGAGGAGGAGAAGGAGCAGGAGGAGCAGGAGTAGGATGAGGAGGAGGAGGAGAGGGACGAAGAGGAAGAGGAGGATGAGCAGGAGGAGGAGGACCAGTGTAAACCCAAGAGTCATCAACGATGTTGGAGCAGACTCCCTCCAAGCTCCCTCTTCGTAGGCCCCTACTTTCAGCTTGTGATTGACATAAGGCCCCCCCCCGGGCTGATGAATAGACCCGGCGGGGCGCGAAACCTGTTTGTAAATCACGCGCGCCAGGGGGTCGTCGCTGGCGCCGCCGAGGGGATCGTGTACCCCCTGGCATGACAGCCTCACAACGATTGTTTTTTGTATAGAAGTTGTTATAAGAGTCGGTCACATCCGAGGCGAATGTTCGTTCCCCCTCTCAGGCGTCGTCGTCGTCCTTGTCGTCTTCGTCGTCGCCGTCGTCGACTACAGCGGGCCTCCGCATCGGGCATCCGCAGTGCGTCGCCGCAGTCGCCGTCTGCCGTCCGCCGTCCGTCGTCCTCGTCCTCGCCCCGTCGTCGTCGTCGTCGTCGTCGTCGTCGTCGGCGACGAAGAGAGCGGCCGCTGGAATCGGGCGCAGGCAGGGCTGGGGACGGCGGCGACGGCGGCGACAGAAGGGGGAAGGAGGACCACCCGCCTTAAGCCCGGGTCGGACGAAAGGCTGGGGAAGGAAAGGGTGGGTTGCAAAGCCTGCTGCGCGCAGCTGGTTTCGGTCGCACTTCCGAAGGGCCCGTCCTCGACGCATGGCCGCTTTCGGCGCCAGAAGGCGCTTGGAAAATCGGCGACGTGAGCTGCTTGGCAAATCCCCCTTTTGCTGCGCCCAGCTGTCGTCCAGCCCGCCTTGCATGCGCAGGCCCGCATCGGTTCCACTGAAAGGGGGGCGCCCTGGCTCGCCTTTGCCTCCAAACGCCCCCCCCGTTGCCCCTCGTTGGCGGCCAGGCGTCGGCGCCAATCACCGGCGCCGCCCCGTTGATTTTCAATATGGCGGGCGGCACCCCGCGATTCGCCCGAGCAGAGGGAGTATTTTACAAAACGCGCCCCCCCACGGACTTGTTATTCACAAGCTGACACTACAACGGTTCATTTCGATTGGTGGAACTGCCTCGATGGTAAACACCCGTTTGGAGACCCTGAAGCATGCCGAAACATTGTTCTCGGGTTTTCAATTCCACGGATCAACATGACTGTTGCGTCTTGACGATCCTGAACCGCACCAGAACGTCATTCCTACGATTTCAACACAGAGAACCAACGTAATTGTTGCATCCGCATGATCCTGTATATTTCCAACACGTTGTTGGTACGTTGATGATGGAAACCCGTGAAAGTACTGCAACCTTTTAAAAACGAATGTGCCCGGCGGTAAGGCGAGAACCAGATTTTGAAACAAAACCGTTCTCAATCCGTGAAAGTATGGCAATTTTCAAAGATGGATGTGCGCCGCGCTAAGGCGAAAACCACATTTGGAAAACCACTCGCCCTCAATCCGCGAAGTTATTCCAAATGTTTGAAACGAATGTGCGCCGCGCTAAGGCGAGAACCACATTTTGAAAACCACCTGTTGTCAACCCGCGAAACTCTTGCAAGTTCTAAAGACGAGTGTGCGCGGCGTTAAGGCGAAAACCACATTTTGAAAACCACCCGTGGATCTCTTTGCACATTCTTAAAAACGAGTGTGCGCCGCGCTAATGCGAGAGCCACATTTTGAAAACGAGCCGCGTTCCGTCTGTGAATCTGCTGCCATCAGAGTCTTACATGGGGAGGAAGTCTCAGGCGGACCGCCCAGCCGCCCTAAACATTCGCTTCGAAGCGTTTCCGGGAAAATTTATGCATACGGAAAAGGAATGGAGGAGGACCAGCGTAAACCCAGGAGTCATTCATGATGTTGGAATAAACCCTCCCCCAAAACTCTCTCTCCATAGGCCCTTACCCTCGTTCATTTCCACAGGAAGCTGCTTCGTTGGACGATTACCGTTTGAGGACCCTGGCGCATGCCAAAACATCGTTCTCGGGGGTCCAACGCCACGGATAAACCTGATTGTTGCGTCTTGACGATCTGGAATCGTGGCTGAACGCCATTTTTGGGACATCAGCGCTGCGAATCAACGCAACTGTTGCACCCTCATAATCCAGAACCCGTCCAAAACGCCATGTCTGGTACGCTGATCGCGGGAATCCGCCAAAATCTTGCTTTTAAGACAGAATAGGAATAATGCACGCGGCGCTAAGGCGAGAGCCACATTTGAAAAGGAGCCGGCCTCAATCCGTGAAATTCTTGCAATGTTTAAATCGAATGTGCGCAGCGCTAAAGCGAGAGCCACATGTTGAAAAGGAGCCGCCGTCAACCCGTGAAACTCTTGCAGATTTTGGAACGAATGTGCGCCGCGCTAAAACGAGAGCCACATGTTGAAAACGAATCGCCCTCAATCCGTGAAGTTCTTGAACAAATTCCTAAAATGAATGTGCGCCGCGCTAAGGCGAGAGCCACATTTTGAAAACGAGCCTCCCTCCATCTGTGAAGCTGCTGCCAAAGTTTAGAGTCATAAACGGCGAAAGCCTCAGGAGAAACGCTTGGATCGCCCTAAAAACTGGCCTCGGGGTGCGACAGGGGGAAATTCTTTGTATGGACTAAGAATGGAGGAGGAGGAGGAATAGGAGTAGGAGGAGGAGGAGGTGGAGGAGGAGGAGGAATACGAGGAGTGAGGAGAACAGGAGGAGGAGGAGGAGGAGGAGGAGGAGGCAGAGGAGGAGGAGGACGAGGAGGAGGAGGAGGATGAGGTGGAGGAGGAGGAGGAGAGGGACGAAAAGGAGGAGGCGGAGGAGGAGTGGGAAGAGGAGGGGGAGAAGGAGGAGGAGGAGGCGGACGATAAGGAGAGGGAGGAGGAAGAGGACGACGACTGAGGGAGGAGGAGGATGAGGAGGAGGAGAAAAAGGAGGAGGAGGAGAGGCCGAGTTACCAGGCCTTCGAATGGTATGGTTTTCAATGCTGGCGGTTTTGTACCCCCAGTTGTGGTCGCTGTGTTCGGGTTCCGCAGTTTTCAATGCATGTCTAAGCGATGGCGCGGTGCCGCAGGAGGACGAGGAGGAGGAGGGGAGGGGAGACGAGTGTCGTCCTCAGGCCGCCGGAGGCCTGGGGAAGAACAGTCGGAGAACGCTCAGAGGAGGGCGGCGCACACTTCTCCACCCCCCGTTGACTGCCCCTTCCTCTATAGCGAGCACCTGACGACGACGACGACGACGACGACGACGACGACGACGACGACGACGACGACGACGACGACGACGACGACGACGACGACGACGACGGCGGCGGCGGCGGCGGCGGCGGCAGCGGCGGCGGCGGCGGCGACGGCGACGACGACGGCGGCGGCGGCGGCGGCGGCGGCGAGGTAGGGGGGATTAGGCTTCTTAAAAAGAGGCTGCTTCATAGAAAGCGCCGGCCCTTCCTGTAGATGTTGGGCCGGCTCCTTCTAAAGCGCAGCGTCCTACGGATGCATTAAGCAGAGAATTCTGCATTGCGCGGGGGACGAAGATGCATTGACTTCGCTGATATTCAACAGTCTTCCACAACACATGTTCCAAACATTCTACCCGAAATGGTCTAGACGCAAGCACGGAATTCAGTTATCATGTGTCGGGAGCGCTCGACTTACTAGTTTCAGATTTGCTGGCGATGTGATGCTCATTGGTGGTTCAATGACTTTGCTCAAACGGATGATATCAGACGTCCGGAGCGTTGCTTTGACGACGGGCCTGGCAATCCATCCAAACAAATCGAAAATATTACACAACCTTTGCTACCAGAAGTTTAACAAAAACTACACCAGAGTTCGCCGTCGTTGACGACATGCAGATCGAAAGCTTGCTTTTCTTTGGGACAGATTTTTTTAGCTGACGGATTACATTTTGTGACCAAGCAGAAGTAGAGATAAAGTCGCGGATCAAGGCTGTTTTGAGAAAGTTTGGCTTGTTCAAGCAGGAGCTCGCATTCATGGCGTACGCAGCGAATGACCAGCTGCGCCTGTTCAGCGCGTCGTCCGTGCAACTCTGTTGCACGGGTGTGCGTCGTGGACACGGCAGAATTGGAGGGCAAAGCTCGGGCAACCCAGCGCCGAATGTTACGTATGATTGTGAGTGCGCCTGGCGCCGTTACATTGACGCGGCGGACAACGAAGATAAAGCCGAAGCAGCGTCCGCAGAGAACGACACTGGCAGCAACACTCATTACACACGTTCGTCATCCAGTTCGTCTTCGGACATTCGTACAGACATCGAGCCATGACACGAGTGGATCCAAAGAGCAACACAGGCGTGGAACCTTTTTGTCTTTCCCCCTCCAGCTGGCTACGACGATTGGGTTACAACGCGCAGGCGACGGAAATGGCGCTGGGCATCTAAACTGGTGCACGACAAACACATGGAGTTGGAAAGTTGCGATGCGGGACCCACCCTGCTGCAGCGCGCGTGTTCGGAGGCTATCGCAACGGCCTCGGATGCGCTGGGCCGACGACAGATGTCAGATAGTACGAAGTAATCATACTGATGGTGTCTGGGAAACGTTTGCTTTGCCTGCGATGACGAACTGTGTGTGTGGGGGTATGGAATCGATGTACGCGCGCACACCCAACTAAGGCTCCCAACTCTCTAACTCCAGCTCCCAACTTTCCGACTCCAGCGCCCGTGCCCCCACGGCTCCCGAGTTGCCAATTCCCGTTCCCATCTCTCCGACTCCGGCTCCCAATTTTCCGATTATTGCTCCCTCTTTCCAATTCCGGCTCCCCACCGAGTCCAGCTCCAATCTCTCCGGCTCCGGCTCCCGACTCTCCAACTAAGCTTCCAACGCCCCGACTCCGGCTCCCGCCCTTCCGTTCGCAGCTCATACATCTCCGAGTCCAGCTCCCGAGCGTCCGACCCCCGTCTCTCCGACTCCGGCTCCCAGCTTTCCGACTGTGGCTGCCAATTTTCCGAATCCACACCAGTTTTCCGACTCCAGCGTCCAAGTTTCCGACTCCAGCCCCCTGCATTCCTACATTGGCCGGGTTCCGAGTTCAGATTTGAGGCACCCCGGCGCACTCGCCATTCCCTACAAAGGGACGTTTTATGGGCGACATCGGCGTCGCTCCGCTCCACCGCTCCGCTCCACCGCTCCGCTCCGCTCCCCCTGCGGAGTGCTAGGAATCCGTCCAGGTTTGCTCCGTCCAGACCTGAGCCTGGTAAGATGCCACGGCAGGTCCGCACATTCTTCTTGGTCTCCGTCCACACTTACCCCATCCGGACGGATTCGACCCTTCTGAAACAGGAAATGGCCAGCTGGGAACCGCGTGAGCCGAACACGGGGGGACATCACTTACGCCTTCGAGGATGGGCTTCGCCGCGAGGGGTCTGAGGACGGAGGTTGGGTTTCTCCCTCAAGCAGCGGCGACGCGGTTTAGCTTGCATTGCCCTGTAGTGCCACCGAAGAACATGTTGATAACCTTGTGAGGTTGGCACGAAATGTTCTTAGAACACTTCTGTCTTTTATCGCCTTGTTTGAATCATTCGGTTTCATGTTCTTAGAACATTTGTGCTATTAGAACATTTGTTGGTTCCGAGAAAGGTTTGTGGCAGGCCTATAGGAATGCCGGGATGGTCGGTCCTTGCCTTTTTCCCCCGAGATCGCACGGGGACTAGGCCAGGGACAGCCCTGAGGCTGGAGGTCAAGCGCTGATCTCTTGTGCGGCCCACCATCCTGTTGGAACGGGGAGGGATCGAACGGCGCAAGGACGAGGACAAACCCGTTCCAGATTCCAGAGCGTTCCGGAACGCTCCCATAGCGCTCGCAGAGCGTTCTGGAACGCTCTGAGAAGACCGCGGCGCCCGAAACATTTTTCAGAGCCACCAGGTCTCACAGATTCTCGATTCACCCCTTTCCGAATGTGTCCTCGTCTTGGTTTCGTCTTAGGCGAGGCCTGGTCGGCTCGCCCCCCCCCCGCGGCGAGGCGCTCAACTTGGGGCCGCTGTTCCGGACCCGGCTGGCGGGCTACCGCCACCAGCGCACCCGCGAGATCGAGCGCGGGCCTCGGGCGCCGCGTCGCGGGGGGTCGGCGGGGGCGGCAGGGAAGACGTGGGGCGAGTCGAGGAGGGAAGGGAGCTCGCGACGGGGCCAGATCCCAACCGGACAGTCAGATCCCAGCCGGACGGTCCAGATCCCAACCGGTAAAGAAAGCTCGAACGGTTCAGATCACGACCACCAGACAATGCGGTGTCAAGGTTTGGTGTTGCATGTCAGTCTCGGCGCGGAAGAGCCGAAGGGAATCATTTAAGAGAGTTCATTCGGTTTTCATAGTGCGCAGTTGGGATCTAGACCGCTCCATTGCGTGTGTTAGAAAATGCGAGTTCCAAGTGCTCCACGAGTGCCGTGTACACTTAACAAGCTCAAGGCTCTCCAAGGCAGCAGTATATAGAATCGTCCACGAATGTTGTATCAAACGTATACGAGACGTACGGGACGCGTATTCAAATGTTAGCAGGAATGCATACGAAGCGTATGCCAATCGTACACGGAACGTACACGCAACGTGCAGTTTACGTGCGTGCATCGTATTTGAAACGCATGCGAAAAGGTCACAGAACGTATATGGATTTTCATGCCTACGGTATGTCAATGGAACATAGACGACCCGTTACTGACACGCATATCATACGTACATGTGTCGCGTACGGGACGTAAATGAAACGTGTTGTGAAGCGGCTACACAAACGCACAGGAAACCCAATTGGCACGTACTTATCAAACGTGACTTCTTGAGACTTCTCAGAACGTATACGCAACGTCTACATAACGTATACTATGCAACGTATATGAGACAGGGCTCCTCATTGAACAACAGAGATTAGTAAAGGATTGTTCGGCGGCTTACCTGCGATTTACAAGGAGAGGTAGGAAGGGACAAAACAATTTCACACTGTGGCGCAAAGTAGGGATCAGCCGCTTGCGGCCCACGGCCCGCTCACTGTAGAGCGGGTGTGTAAGGTGGGTGGCAGGAACAGGAGAGCAGCTTGCCCGAGCCAGAAGTCTGCGGAGAGGAAGAGGAAGAGAGGAGAGAGGGAGGGGGAGAGAGAGAGAGAGAGATATGTATATATATATATATACAGAGAGAGAGAGAGAGAGTAAACGAGCGGCAGTCCAGGAGTCCAATCGTTACAGCAGGGGCACTAACTAGACCAAATCCTGCGGGCGGGGTGGATCGAACTATTTTCTTACCATTGAACACACATAGAAAATACAACAGTTTTGCTGGAGGCTTGAACTAGCTCATTTGCAATTGGGTCCTGAATGGAAGAAACGAACACATATGAAATAATTTTGCGGGAGGCTGGTGTCGGCCAATTTGCTCTTGGGTGATCGATGGGGGCAACAAGCAAAGAAGACAGCGGATAATCCTGCGGGGGGGCTGGGATCGGCGCGTTTCTTATTGATGCCAGAATGGACATATAACATGATGCTGAAGTCTGAGATTGGCTCATGTATTAGTTTTGGCTTCCAGTTCGAAAAGCATACATCAGATTAAGTATGGTGGAGTCTGGGGGCGGCGCGCTTCTTATTGAATTCGTATTGCAAAGCCAGCGGGCTATGTAATAATTTCGCTGTATGGAGGCTGGGGCCGTCTGATCTTCGCCAGGCACCCCTGGTGCCCGAGCGTGAAAGGCACGCTTGGTGCACCAGATGCGCCACATGCCTCCGCTTGCGCCAGGTGTGCCGCATACTCCAGCCGCGCCAGGTGCGCCACGTTCGAGGCACCCGCAGACTGTGCCAGGTGTGCCTGCACATCTGGTAGTACACATCGGGAATCGTGTCGGCCCCGACCATCCATGTCGAAAACCAATGCCCATAATTGTGTCTAGTGGGCTTGCGCATAGCCGGCCAGACGCCACCACCCCCGCCGTCCCTGTAAAAAACCACTTGGTAGTGATCGCGGGGTGGCCGCGCATGACCCAGATTTGGCCGCGAGGTGCACTTTGTATTCTGTTTTGTCAGGGATGGTAGCCTTGCGCGCAGCAGGCAATATGCTGACACCCCCGCCGCCCCTGTCAAAAATCAATACAAAGTCCTCAAACATTACTCCAGACTTTACCCGACAGTGTATTGTGTATTGTTTTTTGACAAGGGTAGTGGGGGGACGGCGCATCGGGTTGGATATTGGAGGCAGAGTGTGTTTCGGATTGGTGTTTGGCAAGGATGTTTGGAGGGGTAAGCATGGTGTCCTCATTGTTCCTGGTTGGCTGCCGGTCGCCTGGGGGAGGGGGTGTACATCAAAAGGGAACAGTCATAAACCCCTGAGGGGTCTTGGTAGAAAGAGAGAGAGAGAGAGAAGACGAAATCCGTGAAAGCCCGGAGGGTTGGTGGGACTAAACACCTCCTGGGGTTCAGGTTGGCGCCTTGCGAGAAGCAGCCCCCCACTACGAAGCCTTCCCCCCCCAAAAGTCCCCGTGTACGCGCCGCCAATCTCTCCTCCGACCGAGGTGGGGCCCTGGCCCCCAGCTGTATTGGGAGCGCGGCGACCGGCCGCTGCGGCTACTGCGCATGACGCAGGCCGGCCGCGCGGGCGCGGCCGCCGCCGTCGGCTTTTGGGGCGCCTCGGAGGCCTCCAGAGAGCTTCCCGAAGGCTGCCCCCTAGAAGGGCACCCGTGCGGCCAGCCTTAGGAGGTCTTCGTCGCTGCCGTCGTCGTTGCCGTCGTCGTCGTCGCCGCCGTCGTCGTCGCCGTCGTCGCCGTCGTCGTCGTCGTCGTCGTCAACGTCGTCGTCGTCGTCGTCTCCCTCGTCGTCGTCGCTGTCGTCGAGGCCATCGTCGAGGTCGTTTTTCGGGCGGGCGGTACGCGAGAGGTGGCCTAAGTGGTCAGGTCAGATCAGGTGTGCCATGCACTAGAGGCTGCGTGAGCAGGGTGAAACAAAAAAGCGGCCCGCTGGTCACGCTGAAGTGATTTAGAGGAAGAAGAGTAGGAGCAGGAGGAGGAGGAGGAGGAAGGAAGGAAGGGGGACCACGGTGAAGAATGCCTTCATCATCTGTGCCAATCCTTGACGGCCTGCTTCCACATGCGAGCTGCACCGCCCTCTTGGCGGAAGTAGGCAGCAAGTCGCTCGTGTCAGAAAATTATTCCAAATTGTGTGCCCCCACTTCTGTAGTGGTCTGCCTCGCCTTCTGGGGCCTGCAGCTCTCCGGGCGACCAGCGAGTCTGGCTCAAGCACCGACGTTCTCACGGAGTCCGTTCCTGGTCTGCGTGCAAGTCGGCCAGTGGAGATCATTCGTTCCTTGGCGGGGTTGCCGCTACATTTGTATTGTTCGCTATGTTCGAGACAGTATCGTTCGACACACGACTGATACATGAAGGTTGAATCTGGAAGATCTGGTCTGGAAGTTGTCGAATCGGCGTCGTTCTGACTTATTGATACATGCTGCACAAGGTACGTACATCAAGTTCGAGACCGCGCACGCGTTGAGTATCTTCACCTTATGCGTCCTCCCCAAAACAACATGATGAAACCAAATAGTGTGTAATATTTGGAAATCGTTTTTTTTCACTTCCAATCCTGAAGCTAAGTTTGGCGCCAATTTCTTCTATCTGCAGAAAGTGATGTACCCAAGTTAATCAGATCTTCCTTGTTCACGATGGGTTGTCCCAAATTCTTCGTGATGTTATCGTCGGTCCTCACCTTCATCTGCTCAACCTTCTTTCAATTGAATTGCAATCCGTAATTCGCCCCACATCTTTCGATGCAGCTCATGAGTTCACGGATCGCATCGGCGTTGTTGCCGATCAGGAGCGTGCCGTTTGCGTACACCAAGTATCGCACCATCCCGCTCGGCACTTCACCGCTCAATCGACCGCCTAGAGAATCTTGAAGCATGGTAGTCATCACAATTGTGAAGAGGAAGGGGGAAAGGGAGAATCCTTGACAAATGCTGTGCTGTTGACTCCTCTCTCTCGACGACGTGTTGGATTTTGTCACGGTGAACATGCGACTGCTGTAGATGTTGGACACCATGTGTACGAATCTCTCTTGGCATACGAATCTCTGCAGCGCACTGACCAGAGACTCCAGGGACACCGGGGCACAGGGTCGAACGTTTTCGCCCAGTTCTGAGCCAAGAAGATAGTCTCTCCATCTCGCGCTGCCCATGTTTCCTCTAGCACTCGCCGCGCAATGAAGACCGCAATGAAGACCTACAGCCGAATTGAGTGTTCCAGATTCGCTGCTCGGCTCCTGCGTCCTTCATTCGCTGCAGCAGTATAATGGCAAGCATCTTTATACCCAATTGGGAGAAGGCTGATGGGCCTGTTTTTGTTGCAGTCTGATGGATCGCCCTGTTTGTAAATCATCTTCACTTTTGACCTAGGTCAAGCCTCAGGTACCTGACAGTTTCCCCCCACAAGATTACAGAAGCGAGTGATCCACGCCAGCGTGGGCGTGCCGTCGTCGGCAGCTGCTCGCCAGAACTCACGAGGAATGTCGTCGGGCCTCCCGCTTTGCCTCGCTCGAATTTTCTGGCGGCTTCCCTTACCTCTCCTATGATGTCGTCGAGATAGACGGGGAGGACATTTGCATGGATCGAGTCAGTCGGCACAGCCATCGTCGGCCGCACCGCCTATGGCACTGTCTCCAAGTGGTCTGCCAAGGTATTTGCTCGACTGTCGCTCTCTACTGATGCCCCCGTGGCTTTCTTCCTCCTGCCCTGCTGGGGGCAGAAGCCCTGCCGTACCTTGCGAGTCTGGCCCCAGTCTCCGGTCGCAGTCAGCATTTCCACCCACGCGGACTGATCTGTTCGACACAATTGTTCTCAGAAGTTTGGCCAGTTGTTTTTCTCCTTCGACGTTGCCACGGTGTCGGGCTGCAGCGCGCCTGTGATGAGCTCTGACGTGGGAGGTCGTACCCAAGGCTTCCTGGCGCGAGCTGATCTCGTCGGCAGCGTGCTCGCCGATGCCTGATGGAAACCGTCAACCAATTGACACCAGGCAAGGTTCACATCCCCGTGGTCGGGCGCAGCGATTGCGAAGTCGTCCCAAGACTCAGCAAAAGCAGATGCGAGTTTGTAGCTTGTATTCGCCATTCAGCTTCCCACGTCGGGTCTGCCTGTCTGCGTGGCCGGCAGAGCCTTGTCCACGGTAATCCGGACCTGGGTTTTCAATCAGCAATGGTGCGAAGACAAGGGGACGTTTGGACGAGCACAAACGTTCAATACATCACGCAGCCACGTCTGGTCGCAAGCCAAGTAAACGATCTGGGAATGAGTACGCCGATCGATAGTTTGTCCTGCGGTGCAGCCTACGCTGTAGTAGCAGGTAGCTCATGCTGCGGCAAAGGGAAGAAAGTGTTCGCACGGCACATGTTTAGTTGAGTGCATGCCTCCACACGCAGGAATCGATTCGCATCTGGCTTGCAAGGCAGACATTGGGTGGGCGAAGACATCGGGCCCGTTGACGAATCCATCGTCGCCAAATCTACTGTATAGCTTCGAGATGGAATCTCTCCAAATCAATTTCGGACCATGTGCAGAGCATGACGCTCGCGATGAAGTCTCCGAGGTCGTGAAAGAAGCTTTGCCGTTTCGTGTAATCGTATTCATTGTGAGGCGCATGAGCCGAAAATATCACAGTCTTGCCACCAGAAACGCACATCTTCAGAGAGGCCATCCGGCTCGATGCTTGGCAGACTCCAAGAATTGATTGTCTGAAGTTGGAGTCCACGATGAAACCCACTCCTGCCCTATCCTCTCCCTATGCGTCCTCCGCCTCCCCGACATGATCACACGGAAGCCAGAATCTGTCACAAACGTGTCCGAATTGGATCTCCACGTTTGTTGCACACAAGCGATTTTTCTAATATCCCGTTTAATTGTTGGGTCGATCTCTATATGTTTGGGTTCTGTGTAACTTTCTACGCTCCAATTAGCAATCATGAATTCGGCATTTCGAACAGCTCACAATTGATGGCGTCGAAGCTCGCCACGCTGTTGCGGTTGAGCTGCGCAGGGTATGGGATTCGAGTGTGGATCCTGGCGACTTGACGACGATCCTCTGCAACTCCTGGATGAAACATCTCTGTTGGCCCCCCTATTCGCGAGTGTTGCCCTTTCCTTTTCTGGCTTCCTTCGGTTTCTCCTTCCCTTTGGCTCCGCTTTTGCCGATACCTTTCGTGGGGGACTTCACCAATTTATCTGATATTCGTTTGATCATGTCGGGAAGTCTGGGAAGTCCGCCTGGGTCACACTCCTCCCAAGCAGGGCCGTACTGCACCTTCAAGGTCTTGTGATCGATGGACACCCAGACAGCGGTATCACACCCAGGCGTGGCCGTCCTCCGGGTCCGCCCAGACGCTCTCGTGGGCATATCCCCAGATGCGTCCAGCCCCGAATACAAAAGAGGTCAGAATTTAGGTTGGTAAATCTTTGTCATGCTTGGCCCACACCTCGTTTCCCTCCTCTTTCACAGCCGCCTCCCAGGGAGAGCCGAAGGGGGGAGAAAAGGGTCCTCAAGGGTCCCTTGAATACCGCTATTGGAGCAAACAGGGCCCCGAATGAGCCTTGTTTATGGCCTTACTACTATTCACCCCCCATTTATTTCACCCCCCCATTACCACCGGCCTTTGTGGGCCTCGGGAGCAGGCCTTCGTCGGCCCCGCTGGACTGTAGTTGTAGTAGTCGCAATAACAGTAGTACTCGGGCACCGTAGTGGTAGTTGTGGAGGCTGTCGTAGTCGTAGTAGTAATATTGGTGTGGTGGTGGTAGTCGGAGGGTGAGGGGGATGAGGAGGAAGAGGAGGAAAAAGAGGAGGAGAAAGAGGAGAAAATCCAGTGCAAACCCATGACGCATCGACGATGTTGCACTAAGCCCTCCCTTCATCCCTTTTCATCGGTCCCTACGGTTTGGTTCTTCTTGAATATGCCCTGGGCGTGTATTTACCGTTTTTAATTCGGCATGTTGGAAATCACGGTTTTAGCGCATCCTTGGCCCCGACAAGAAACTAAAAACGCGAACATTAATGATTTGTTTCGTTATTAGCTACATTTTGTGGCGTTTTCAGATCAGTTGGCTGTTTTGTTTAACATTCCCGTCTACGACGTCCTCAGTACCTTCTCCTGTGCAGTCCTCAGCCCTCCGGCTCTCTCAGTCCGACTGTTCGCCTCTGGGCCTGTTTCCGGCCAGTGTTAGACCAGTGTTAGAACGTTTTTGTGTCTTTTCGAATCGGGGAGGGAGAACGGCAGCAGAAACGAAACATAGTAGTGAGGACAGCAGGGAAGTCAAAAACAGCCTTCGACCAGACAACAAACAACGTTAACAAAAGTGATGATCCACAGCGACGGGCCTAAACATGCGGAAACAATGGAGCTAAAAACGCTAAGCAAGCGTCACGATGTTTTAGTCTTTATTAGCGTGTCAAGAGTCCAAAGTGCAAAACGCAAAAAACGCCCAGGGCGTTTTTAAGAAGAACCAAGGCACTCAAGAACTTCATACGGGAAATTATCCAATTGAAGACAGCCGTTTGTGAAGCACCAGCCGTTCCAAAACACATGTCATGGGACTCCAATGCCGCGAATCAAGTCAACTGCTACGTTTTGACAATCCTAAATCGCGTCAAAACACCTTTCCTATGGGTTCAACCATGCGGATGTGTGGAAATTGCTGTGAACTTGTAAAGCGAATGTGCGTGGCGCTCCCGCGACAACCACACTTTGAAAGCGAACCGCCCTCCATATGTGAAGCTGTTGCGAACTGTGAAGACGAATGCGCCCTTCATCAAGGCGAGAGCCACACTGTGGAAAGGGCCCGCACCCCTTTTTTTAACGGTGGCAAATTTGTAAGACTGATGCGCGCGGCGCTAAGGAGAGAGCCACATTTTGAAACGACCCGCCCTCCATCCTTGAAGCGGTTGCGTGTATCAATTTCAAGTATCATTAATGGTGAGGTAAATTGAAATGAAGCGCCCCGGCCGCTCTACCAACACGTCTGGGGTTGCGGCACGGATGAGTTAGTCATAAGGAAAAGGATGGAGGAGTAGGAGGAGGAAGAGGAAGAGGAGGAGGAGCAGCAGGAGCAGGGGGAGGAGTAAGAGGCGGAGGAGGAGGAGTTGTGATGCATCGAGGGTTCCACAAATGAAAAAGTTGGATGCTCGTCATGGAATTGAATGACTGGTACCAGGGCGATGCCTTGCCAACCGGCCACTCAGCTTCATCAGCCCTGTGGCTGGCTCTTTCCGCGGATTCAGGTATATCCGTTCCTACGCGCGGCCATTGTTGTATTTGCGCCAGTACATGCGTCCAGGTGATAGTACTAATTCGACAATTAATTCGTGTATTCAGCTCTTCGTGTCTACATGTACTCTCTCGTCCAGGTATCGATTTGCGCATTTATACCGTGTGCCCGCGCGTTGCGAGGGGGGAACTTTGTTGGGGCCCGCGTGTGAGAGAGCCTGGAACCAGTCCTCGCGACGAGAAAGGAGAAATGAGGTGCAAGAGTGAGGGGAAGGAGTAAGGGTGGACGAAGATGTGCTTGTAGATGAAGGTGGATTGGGGGTGCAGGAGGAAGCAGGGAGGACGAGGATGGCGGGGGGGCAAGGCAGGAGGAAGTATGACTGAGGCGGGCATTGATGCGGGACGGGGCTGGGGCAGGACGAGGCCCGGGAGGCAGGAGGGAGGGGGGAGGGGGGAGGGAGGAGGGAGGGGGCGGAACGGTGTCCCCCGCCCCCCCGCCCCCCGCCCCCCCCCCCCCGCGGCTTCCGCAGGAACCCGTCCGCGTGCGGTTTGCGCGCTCGGAGGGGCCCTTCGGCTTCCACCTGCAGGACCTCCTGGTCGGGGGGCCGTGGGCCCTCACGCTGCTGGTGGGTAGGGGGGGGGCGCAGCAGATCGTGCGAGGCAATGTCGAGGGGGTGCGGGGAAGGGCAGGGCAAGGGGGAGGGAGGCGGAGGAGGAGGAGGCGGAGGCGGAGGCGGAGGCCGAGGAGGAGGAGGAGGAGGAGCGAGATGCAGCGGACGCAGTCTGTGAACTGCCGGGGCCCGGGGACGCCAGCGCAGCATCCCCAGGCCCCCAGGAGGTAACCTCCCTCTCCTCGTCGTCTGCCTTCTTCCTCGCCCCACCTTTCTCCTGTCGCCTCTCACTTACCCCCCCCTCGTCTTCCTCATGTCTCCCCCCTTCTCGATCTCTGGTGCGGCAGTGCGTTCCAGAGTCACGGTGCTTTTTTTGTTCAGGTGTTCCGCCTCGAGAGCGCACCATCCTGTTCCATTCCGCCCCTCCGGGATCTTCGATGAGAGGGCAAGATGTACAGGAAACCCGTCGTCTGAGGCGTATCATCATCTGAATCAGCAGCATCATCATCAGCATCATCAGCATCAGAAGTAGTAGGACTTCCCTAAGGAGAACAGCGAATTGCAAAGGCAAGGCTTCATCGCGCCGCGCAGGACTCCCGCAGCGGTGGCGGGGTGGAGGTCGTGGAGGCCCTCCGCGCGGCCGCCACCGCCGTTTCTGCCGCTGACGCCGAGGACGACGGCAGCGCCTTCCTCTTCTCGGCGGCTAGACAGGGGGAGGGGAACGGATGGAGTAGAGGTGCATGTTTCGCGCGCATTGGCACTTCGTGTTTGCAGGGTTCGACGGACTTGCTGTGATGTTCGCAAGGCCTCGTTGGACAGAACACATATGCATCCTCCTCCTCCTCCTCTTCCCCCTCCTCCTCCTCCTCCTCCTCCTCCCCCTCCTTCCCCTCCTCCTCCTCCTCCCCCTCCATCTGCGTTTCTGCGTTTCTCGCTATGCAGCGTCTTGTCGCGCGCCCCGCGGGCGCGGAGCGCTCTGCAGCGGCCCACCAGGGCCGTGCGGGCGCTCAGACTGCGGCCCCGGGAACCCGGCCCCGAGGGAAACAGGGAGCCTGGGACCAGTAAATCATAGAGAAGGGAGAGAGGGGCCGGGTTTCAGTAAAACAAAAAGATGAGGGCCCATCTGGGCCCTCGGCAGGCGCCGCGCGCGCCCGTGCCAGCTCAGCCAGCTCGGCCCGCAGCCAGGCCTCGGCCTCTTTGTGGGCGGTCGGCCTTTTGTGTGGCGGCTGGGCTCCCTTCGGCGCCTCGCGCTGAGCCCAGCCGCCAGGTCATCGGGTGGCTGGCCGCCTTCTCTGCGGCGGCCTCCACCCTTCGGCGCTCAGCGCTGTGGAGGCCCGCCGAGCCTCTGACTTCAGCGGCTCTGCAGCGCTGTCCTAGCCTCGGCCTCTTTGTGGGCGGTCGGCCTCTTGTGCGGCGGCTGGGCTCCCTTCGGCGCCTCGCGCTGAGCCCAGCCGCCAGGTCATCAGGTGGATGGCTGCCTTCTCTGCGGTGGCCTCCACCCTTCGGCGCTCAGCGCTGTGGAGTCCGCCGAGCCTCTGACTTCAGCGGCTCTGCAGCACTCTCCTCGCCTAGCGGTCGGTCTCATGTACGGCGGCTGGGCTCCCTTCGGCGCCTCGCGCTGAGCCCAGCCGCCAGGTCATCAGGTGGATGGCCGCCTTCTCTGCGGCGGCCTCCACCCTTCGGCGCTCAGCGCTGTGGAGGCCCGCCGAGCCTCTGGATTCAGCGGCTCTGCAGCACTCTCCTCGCCTGCCACGCGAGGGCCGTCGGTCATGACCCCCTGCTTTTGAGCTGCAGGAGGGTACTGATCTCGGATGTTGTAGATGTCGTTGTATGGGGCTGCGTGCAGATGTGGAGCGAGTTGGCGAGGTCGTTGGGGGTCGGGCTGTTGCTGGTGTTGTGTTGGTGGTGGGCTCCCAAGGCCTCCATGCACCGACTTCAAGTGGGGGTCGTTACTGTCCCACCTCGTCCCGCTATGGCTAGGGGTCACGGTGCCCTCGGTGGGGGCGAACCCCAGGCCTGGTACTTGTCGTCGGAGTGGTGTGTCTCGGCTGTCCAGCTTCGCCCTCGGGCGATCGGGTAGCTCCTCCTTCTCCATGGGAATGGTGGGGGTGGCGAGCTAGGGCGGACCGCGGGGGCGCGGGTAGTGGCCGTCCTACCCCCCCCCTGCCCCTCACCATCCCCGCTGGCGGGCGCGGGAAGTACTCGTCCTTCCCCCCCAGCCCTTCGAGCCCGTCTCGAAGTTTGATCCTCACCAGGACAGCGTTGACTTGGAAGGAGTTGTAGGGGGTCGTGTTGGGTATGCTGTCGATGTCGGTCGGTGATACGCTGACGGCCGATGGGCCGCCCGCTGCCAGCCAGCTGGCGCCATCCATACTGTAGATCTCCAGGAGCCGCCGCGGTACACCCCCCTCCATCTCCTCCTCCTCCTCCTCCTCATCATCATCCCCTCACTTCATCCTCGTCTCTCCTTGAAGTGTTGTGGGCTATCGGGCAACCTCGGGCCGTCTTCGCAAGTCTGGGGCCGTCGAGATCGGAGGTGGACATACGAGGCACACACGCAGGATCAGCCAGAAGGAGGATACAGAGGAGACGAGGTGATAGAACACGAGGTGGGAGACGACCTCCTCCTCCTCCTCTTCCTCCACCTCCTCCTCCTCCTCCGCCTCCTCCTGAGGAGGACATGCATAATGAAGATGATGAGGGGCGAACGACATGGGAGTGGAAAAGGACATCGAACACGAGGAGGATGAAACAGTGGGCTAAGAAGCGCCTGCTGTGGCCTCTGTGGGTGCCTTGGGGCCCTCTTGGAGGCCTCTCGGAGGCCTCTTGGAGCCTCTTGGGGGCACCTCGGGGGCCTCTGAGAGACTCTTGGGCCCATCGCGGGGGGAAGCGCTCGGTTTGTCAGATTGCATTCATTATCTTACGCGCCTTCGCACCCCCCGCAAGTGAGGCTTGGCGGAATTGGAAACAGTGGACGACCCTCGCGCAGGTGTGTGTCTTGTATTTTCTCATGCGTTCCATTCCTCCTCCGCACAATCGTCGAATGGACGCAGGTCTATCGTGTGGCTGATCGATGCCCGTCATCACTATCCACGGGTCGGTGATATGGGCGTTGGCTCTCTGGACCTCTGCCCCGAGGCCAGAAATTGCCAGCCAGAACACCACCCAGGATTAGTCCAAGACGCACTCAGGCTCGCAGGCACCAAGAGTGCCGACGGATCTGGGGTATACTGCAGCTTGCCTCCTTTACCTCGCGCCGAGTGGTATTGCCGCCGATGGTCAGCTGGCTGCGCGGGGCAGCGGCTGGCTGACTTTTGGGTGGTAAGCCCTCCTTTGTCCGTCGCGGTGTCATGGCTCCAGCCGTGGCGTGAGCCTGCTGCTGCAAAACAAAAGGACGGCCTGAAGGCCCAAATGTTTCCAACAGGGGCCGAAAAGGGTCCCGAAAGAGGCACAGGCAGGGGCCAATCTGTGCCCGAGGCGGCCAGCGCGGGCCGCTCCGCTCGACGGCCAAAGCGCGAGCACCCCCGCGTTGGCCCCTGCTACGTCCGAACTTCACTCACATCGGGTCGGGACCTGCGCCGGGTTGGGGCTCAAGTTGGGCCCATCATCGTCCAACATGGATTCGAAGAAGAAATCAACGCCGTAAACATAAGCTTCTGGCGCTCCGCGCGGATTTCTCGGATCCGCGCCGGGCCCCCCCCCCCCAGCGGCGCCTCCAGCGCCGCCCCTGGCGCGCTCCGAGCACCACCGAGGGGGGTCCAGCGCAGGTCCAAGAAATCCGTGCGGAGCGCCAGAAGTTTATGATTATGTCGTGTCTCCTCCAATGGGTACCAGAGCGCTTCCAGAAACGGCGTCGATAACTGCATGCTAAAATATCGCGTCGTGTCCACGCAGTAGTGGCTAACCTTGCGGGTGAACTGGGTCGGCCGAGCTTCGGACACACCCGCAAGTCAGTCTTTAATATTTGAGTGGCGCTTGCGCGTCGCAGCCTCAGTAGCCAGTATATCGGCACGCTGTTGGGGCAGCATGCTTCTGCTCATATTGTAGTGGCCTCCGGCCAGTGCCGCCGATCCGGGGCGCTTCGAATGATGATGATGATGATGATGATGATGATGATGATGATGGTGATGATGGTGATGATGATGATTAAAAGATGATGATGAAAAGATGATGATGATGATCATGATGATCATGATGATCATGATGATCATCATGATGATCATGATGATCATGATGATGATGATGATGACGATGATGACGATGACGATGATGACGATGATGTTGATGATGATGATGATGATGGTGGTGATGCTGCTGATGATGATGATGATGATGATTATGATGATGATGATGATGATGATGATGATGATGATGATGATGATGATGATGATGATGATGATGATGATGATGATGATATGTGATGGTGATGTGACGATGGTGATGGTGATGATGGAGATGGTGATGATCCCGGTCCCCCCCACCCCCCTCCTCTCTCCTGTCCCCCCCCTCTCCTGTCCCCCCCCCCCTCTCTCCTTTCCCTCCCCCCCATTCTCCTGTCCCCCCCCCCCTCTCCTGTCCCCCCCCCCTCTCTCCTGTCCCCCCCCCTCCTCTCTCCTGTCCCCCCCCTCTCTCTCTCCTGTCCCCCCCCCCTCTCTCTTTCCCCCCCCCCTCTCTTCTGTCTCCCCCCCTCTCCTGTCACCCCCCCTCTCCTCCCCCCCCCCTCTCTCCTGTCCTCCCCCCTGTCTCTTGTCCCCCCCCCCTCTCTCCTTCCCACCCCCCCCTCTCTCCTGTCCCCCCCCCATTCTCTCCTGTACCCCCCCTCTCCTCCACCCCCCCTCTCTCCTGTCCCCCCCCCTTCTCTCCTGGGGGCTGGCAGGGGGGGGGGGAGGTGCCAAGCACTTCCATCCGTCAGTTAATTACGTCCCCCCCCCCTCCACCCCCCCAAGCAGAGCTAAAGCTCATGCTGAAGCAGAGCTGCAGCTTAGACTTCTTAAACTCACACACCAGATCGGCGGATTTGGACCAGCCTTCGTCGCGGAGTCTGGATAATTGTGGGAGCATCGTGGTGAAAGTGCTCCCGACGAGCGCGAAGGTCAGCTGTAAGAGGCGCCCTGGCGCCCTCAGCGAGGGGCAGCACCGCAGAAACGATAGATGTTGTTGTCTGCGCTCGTGCCACAGCCCCCCCACCTGCCTTGGCTACGCCCGCCAGTCGGCCCGAGAGTGAGCTCCCTCCTCACCTCTCCCCTCACGCCACCCCGTCGAGGGGGAAGACTACATGCGCCACATTTGCAAGGGAGAGAGAGAGAGAGAGAGACGGAGAGGCTCTCAGCCAACGCGAGAACAAAAACGACAATCGGCCAAGTCGCCGTGTTCGTCGCCGTCGTCGTCGGCACTCGGCCCCCAGACCTGTCCTGGGTCCCGGCCAGGATCTCGGGGCGGGCCCAGCGGTGGCCAAGAGGGTGCCTCAAGAGGCCCTGGAAGGGCGAACCAAAAGACAGAGGCGTCGTCGCCGTCCGTCGCCGTCGCCCGTCGCCTGTCGTCGTCGTCTTCGTCGTCGTCGTCGTCGACGCCCGTCGCAGGTCGTCGAGGGCAGCCCCGCGGATGCGAGGGGTGTCGTCGTGGGCCGCACAGTGAAGCGCCTGTGCTTCGGCGACCGCGTGGAGGCGCGAGCGGGGACGGGCCGCTCTGGCGCCCCCCATTCGTCGTCGGGGCCTTGGGCAGGGCCCAGCTCGCTCCGATCGCTGCGATTCCGTATCGATGTTGGCCCGCTCGGCCCGGTTCGATTCCGATATCTTGGCGATGCGAAGCGGCGTGGTGCTCGCATGGCGTTGCGATGTTTTGGCGATATGTTGGCGACATTTTGGCGATGCGATGCGGCGTGATGCTTGCATGGCGCTGATGTGCATGCTGGCGCGGCCGCTTCGATTCGATTCCGACCCCGGGCCGACGCAGGGCGATCCGACGCGAGTTCCGATCCGAACCCATTTCTCGATTTGATTATGGTCGATCTTCGCCAGGGGAGGACCTAATTTGTCAGTGATGGCATCTCTTTTCTTCGAGTTCGGCATGTTGGGGTCCACTCTCTGACCCCCCGCCACGGGCAATCGAGAGTGCATTCACCACCGAGGCGAAGCACCGCCCCCTCGAGAGGGGTCGCGACCTCCTTGCGCCAGCGGGCTGAGAGAACCGACCGTTGTCGGAGGAGGACGAGCCCCGACTTCGACCTCTCGGGAGGATCCGATTTGTCGATCCCAGCGTGTCTTCCTCAACGACACGCCGATGCCGACGCTGTGAGCCCGTCGGCGCGCTTGATTATCTGTTTTTGCCCGGAGGCCTGGTGGGAATGGATTCGGACGGTAGTCGCCAGCCGCGCGAAGGAGTGGGCACGCATTGCATTGCAAGAGGAGAATCAGATCGTGATGGACAGACATCAGGAAACAAAAAGTGGCATAAACATGAAAACTCGGAGGTCCGCGCGGATTTCTCGGATCGGCGCTGGACCCCCTTCCCTGGCGCGCGGAGCGCGCCAGGGGCGGCGCCGGAGGCGCCGCCGGGGGGCCCCAGCGCCGATCCGAGAAATCCGCGCGGACCTCCGAGTTTTCATGTTTACGTCACTCTTTGTTCCCCTAAGACGCAGTCACAACATTGGGGGAACCAAGAGGTACCGATGCCGCTACTCCCTGGACGTCTCTTCGGGTGCGTTCTGATAGGGATTTCGATGCGAATCCAGCGCTGGCAGCGATGGCCTCCCAGGAGGGCACACATAGAAAACGGGCGAGGGGTAGCGGTATCTGTGCCCTCTCCTCCTCCGAAACCACGGGTGCGACGCCCTAATTTAAGCAGCAGTCAAACAAACTATGTGTTTTTTTGAGTATTTTGTATTTGTCGTCGCAAATCCCCCTGTAGGGGGACACGCCCGACTTAAATTTAGGGCGATCTTCTACGACGTTGCAGCAGTACTTTCCAGACGCACCCAGGAGGGCCGCAGGTCTGCCCCAGCTGGCGAAGACGGATGTCTGGGCCAAGCGGAAGCCTGGGTATGTTTATCAGTGGCGGATCTGTGTCTGCATGCTTTGAAGAGGGAGAGTTGCCCATGCTGCAACCCTTCCCTCGTTGTCCCCTGTCAGGACCTTCTGGGAGGCCCTGGCCGCCACCGCTGTGCTCGCCTCGAAATCCTGATCTGAGCGCACCCCAGGAGACGTTCGGGGAGTAGCAGCATTGGTACCTCTTGGTTTCCCATGTGTAATACATGATTGCTCTCTGTTTGCATCATGGTGCGATGTCATATTCAGCACCAGGTATTTCTCCGACTCCAGCCTCACGTGTCTTTCCGACTCTGGTTTCAGTGGTTGTCTCTCCGATTTCTGTTCCCACCTCTCCGAGTCCAGCTCCTATGTCGTCGGCTCTGGTCTCCGACTCCCGCTTCCTCCTTTCTGACTCCCACGTCTCCGACTTCGGATTTCCCCGTAGCCATTTTGGCTTAATCCATTCTGGCTCAAGCGTTGCGCGGTCTCCGTCCTCCCCTAATCGTTTGGCAGAGAATGGTTCCGTACTTAGAGGCCCTCGCATGCATTTGTGGTTTTGCTCGCAGTGCATCCGTACCGCGAACGAGCTTGTCGAATCAGGTGTTCTTGTGGTGTTGCTGCTCCTCAGCGTGTGGTACAGGCAGCTCGCAGGAATGAGAAGGAACATAAGCAGCAACCGACGAAGGCGACTCCAAACGGCCTCGCTAGCAAGTGGGCTTAGGGACCGCCAGACTCAGTCGCGCAGACCACAGCAGCTCTCGACAAGAGGTTTGCCCAGAAATTCAAGGAGGCTCTCAGAGACAAGGGAGCGGCTGCGGGCAGTATTCAGTCTGTTGGGAAGCCTAATGATGGGCAGTCTTCTCTTACGGATGAATATCAAAGCCGCCCGCATCGATTTCTTTGACAATGCTACCAGCAGCTCTGTGATGTTGAAGACGCGGATCCCGCCAATAAATGTCTTATGGAGCAGCTACGAGATACACGTTGAGAGGCGCGGTGTGCTCGACCAGTGCTTTAACAACATACGGATCTTGCATTCCGCCACCAGAGGTAGCCTTGTCGCGTGAAACCGACTCCCTCAACGAGGAGCTTCGCCGCACCATGCCAACACCTCCTGTGATCGAGGAGGTGCCAGGGCCAGACTTGGAGCTCGACCAGCCTTTGTTGGATGCCACCTTGTGCTCAAGGCTTTTGTCGAGATACTTTTTGTTCGTACAGTTCAAGCAGTTCTACCAGCAGAAGTTGAGGCAAGCGCCCACGCCCGCTGCTGCCCAACCTCAGCCTCCCGCACTGGCACAGCCAGGGGGAATCGAGGCACCCGTTGAAGATGGTAATGAACCGATGGATGCTCTTTTGCCCGATGATGTGGGCAAGTTTCTGCGCGCGGCCAACGCTTGAAGCATGTTGCGGACATGGGTGTCAAGCGTGCGAAGTTGGTGGCCACGCCTACATCGCAACAGGGTTTTGCCCTTCCTACCCTTCCCGTTCCCGCAGGTCTTGTCAACAGCCAGGGTCATGATGTGTGGTTGTCCTGTCTCCATTTAATGATTGGTTGTGCCGCAGTGTAGCGGCACGCCAACAGTGCAGGGAAAGTTTGTGAAGCAGCATGGTAGTCTGTCTCTGTTTACCGCGTCTTTCATTGGTATTTGTAGGGCTACGCATTTAGACAGGCTACGCATGAGTAAGTCTATGATAATATTTGCCCTGGGTATCGGAACAGGTGCCGCAGTTGCTGTAGACATTCAGCGCGCAGCACGTACGACCTTGGTTCCCTGGGTCTCGGCGATATTCCTGGCATCCCAGATGGTGTCGAAGTAGATGTGGTCGGAGGATCGCACCGCGTTGCCGATACATCGCCGTTGCGGCTCGATGTGGGGCCCGAGTTTCTCCACGCCAGCGTCGCCGCTGCACGGCCGATGTCGCCAGTGCATCGGCGGCGGCGCATCGACAACGCATCGGCGATGCGGCGAGAGCCTCCGACCCCACCTACTCCGAAATCGTCATGGAGGCCTTTAGATATCGGGGTGGCGCGGCTCGGCGTCGGTGCCCGTTGTTTTCGGCCATCCGCGGGAGGAGCGGCCGCTGCCTCCCAGGGCCGCCCAAGGCCTCCGGCTCACCGGGGCGCGCGCGTCCCGAGCCGTGGTCTAGTAGGCGGCGGGTCGCGCCTAGTCTGTCGGCCACACGCAGGGGGTTATGGGGGAGGGGGGAAGGTCTCTGAGAAGCACCCATGCTGCTAGAAGGCGCAGTCAGTATCTGTAGATGTAAGGCTGGCGACGTCTGAGCAGTCGCCTCCTTCTAAGAAACCACCCCGATGTGCGCGCCGCCAACATTGCCCCCACGGCCCGCCGTCCCCGCCTCCGTGGCCCGCCGTTCCCGCCTGCGCCGCGCCCGTCGTCATCGCCGTCGTCGTCGTCGTTTGCGTCGTCGTCTTGGTCGTCGTCGTCGTTGGCGTCGGTCGTCGTCGCTTGCGTCGGTCGGTCGTCGTCGTCGTCGTGATCGTCGTCGTCGTCCATACGGTCTCGTCGTCTTCGCCGTCGTCGTTCTCGTCGTCTGTTTCGTTTTTGTCGTTTGCGCCGCCGTCGTTTGCGTCGGTTTCGTCGTCGTGTTCGTGGCTGTCGTGTTCGATCGAAGGTCAAGGATCGATCGTCCAGGCTTTCGGTTAGCTGGGGACCTGCTTCTGCCCCAGTAGCCCGCACATGGGGTCCTCTCAGAGGAGGAGGAGGAGGAGGAGGAGGAGGAGGAGGAGGAGGAGGAGGAGGAGGAGGAGGAGGAGGAGGAGGAGGAGGAAGGGGGAGGGGGAGGGGAGGAGGAGGAGGAGGAGGAGGGGGAGGGGGGGGGAGGGGGGAGGAGGAGGAGGAGGAGGAGGGAGAGGAGGAGGAGGAGGAGGAGGAGGAGGAGGAGGAGGAGGAGGAGGGAGGAGGAGGGGAGGGGGAGGGGGAGGGGGAGGAGGAGGAGGAGGAGGAGGGAGGAGGAGGAGGAGGAGGACTCCAGGCGAAAGCTGCAGCCCACGGCTATCTTTGTCCGTCGGGCATGTGGCCTTCTGCGGGGTGTTCAGGTAGGAGACACCAGGGAGGGGGAAATCGCACCGCCGCCCTCCATTGGTGGAAGTGTTGCGCACTTTTGCATGTCTGGCGACAACGCAATAGAACATCTCCAGCGAGACCCCATGGTTGAGAAGGGACGATCTCTGTTCGTGTAGATGTTGCAGCACATTGGTTGCGGGCCAACCGCGATGAAGAAATCCAGTATTTCGGACATGGGGCGGCCTCAACTCGTGTAGTGCAGTTGCTGGGGAGGTACATACACGTCTGTGGACTATGGTCCGAGACATCGCAAGCGTGGGCATAATTTTGAAATGGGTTCGCCCTCAACCCCTGCAGCTTGGGAAAACATTCCGCACCAGTGCCCACAGTGCTAAGGCGCGAGCCGCATTTTGAAGAGGTCCGCCTTCTCTCCGTGTAGCTAACGGAAGCAACCTTGCAGCCGCTGAAACTTTACGACAAACGTCCACGGGATTGTCGTGAAGGCCACAACTGGCCGCTTTGCATGTTTGTCCATCTCGGCTTCCTGCCCCAGGGCCCTACGTAGCGGGGGGTCTAGCGAAGCGCCCGGGCCGCCTTGCCGACACGTCTGGTGGCGCGACGATGAGGAGTGGCTTGCGAGGAAGCGGGAGGAATACGGAGGACGAAGAACATGCGAGGGAAGAGGAGGAGGAGGATGAGGAGGAGGAGGAAAGGCGCCACTCTGGTTCGGGGATGGGGGGCCCTCGGCGGGGCCCCCGTTTCGGGCGCCTTCAGCAAGCGGGGCAGCGGCTTGGCTTCATGCGATGGCATCTGCAGCTCCCTCGGCATCGGCAGCCCGTCGCGGCATTCTGATTGCACAGTACAACCCACAGAGTGCGAATCGTGAGAGGAGCCTGGGCATAATTCAGGAACTAAGCAATTTTGACCTCGTGGGCCTCATAGGCACACAACGTCGGTCGTCAGGAAATCATACGGAAGTACCGCAGCGGGCTGGGAACTACTGGAGTATTGACTTTGGCTGATATCGAGGTGCGCACTGCAACAAGAGCTGCGGACTCACATTTTGGGTGAGGCGAAGGTTCTTGACGAGATCTCACTTCAACGGTTTTCTGCACACGCCAAAAAAACTTGTGGGGTCGATGTGGTGCCATCAAGTTCGAGAGAAGGCCACTGCGTATTGTTGTGTTCCTGTTGTACGTTCCACCTCAACCCAGAGGGCGACCTCAAGTGGTGCAGTGGCGTGCGGCAGTCTCGGCTATGCTAGGGTGGCTATCTCGCTTGCTGGAGTCAGTATATGCACGGTGGTCGCCTATCGTCATGGGAGACATCAGCGGTCAGTTCCAGGCGCATGCTGAGATTGTTGGGGTACATGGGAATGGTCCGACGAACGACACGTCTGAAGGGCTAATGGCGCTGCTCTCGTCGCACTCGTTATGTGCTATTTGCACCAAGTGGCCTGCAGGCGACACGTACTACGGCACCGAGGTGTCCAACGTGACCGACTTCATTTTTATACCCCAGAAGTGGGCACACGAAGTCACATGGTGCCGAATACTACGGAGATCGGCCTGGAGGTTGCAAGCTCACAGTCAAAGCAAGTTGTGGGATCACGGACCTATTGGCTTGGCAATCCCGCTCGCAGTTATTGCAGAACCGTATCTGATAGCTGATTCACCTCGTCGTTCAGGTGAAGCAATGTCCATGATGTTGCAGCGTGGGTGGCAGCGCAAACCTTTGTCCAGCATGTCGTCACGGGAATATGAACGGGTGATTGCGCCGCCACCGCGTGAGATCGCCGACGAGGCCAACCGTGTCTTGATGGGGGCACTGAATGAAGCAGGTGTTATGGTTTGCAGCAAGTCTCCGCTCTACACAGAAGATCATACGCGTCACGCCAGAGAAGTGAAGGCGTTGCTCGAGCAACGCCGCACAGTCAGTCAGCAGACTGCGTGCGATTATGAGGAGATGGCGGGGGAGGACTTGGAGAGCAAGGAGCACGTGCTCGTGGAAAAGGGACAGAAAGCGTACAAGGCCTACCTGGACAAGGTCGAGACTGCGGGCAAGGGCCACAACCGCGGCCCAGCAGAGGTGCAAGTATTTGGCAGCATTCTGACAGATATAGGCTGCTTCTTGAATCAGGGCGACTGCCCGCTGGAAGTTCGCAAGTATCTGGGAATCGGCCAGAGGATCAAAGACATGCTCCCCAGGGGGACCCCTGAGGAGGCCGCGTTGTGGATCCACGAGTTCGGGTTTTCCCCCGCGCTCGAAAATCCTGAGGTGCACGTTCGAGCTCCGAGGACACATCCTGGTGGCAAAGAACGTGGAGGGCGCGAAGGCGCTAAACAAGCTGCAGGCAGAGGCGTGGGGAGGGGCACCGTCGGACGAGGAGTGGAAAAGGTCTGCGGCGCAATCCTCTTGAGATCCCTGTGAATGAGTCCAACAAGCATGTAGATTTAACGGCGGTCCTGGCCAAGATTTTCCGTGCCTGGGGTGCCGCAAAAAAAACTAAGTAGAGCTCCGTGGGGTGCCTTTGCCTAAGGTCTGGGTGGTAAGTAGACCTGGACATAGTCTTGAATTGGGCCCCGCGGTGGTGATTTAGCCACACGGCTGGGTTTTAAGTGCCCTGGCCTGTTCGGGTCTGTAGCCTGCTGGTGGCACTAGGGTCCCGTGCGGGACCCAAGTGCCGCCTGGGGGGGGGGGGCACCCTTTTTGGCGTCCTGGGCTCCTGGGTCTCTGGGGGCCTCCTGGGGGCGGTGCTTTGCCTTGCGGGGGCGTGATCCCCCCCCTGCAGGCCGCAGGCGTTCCGTCCGAGCTAGCCGCGTCCGCGGCTCCTCGGCGATGTCGACCTTGAAGTTCTAGTGCTTGGTGAAGGCGTGCCCAGAGTAGAGAGTGACAGTCAGTATGGATGCTTGAATGGGAGTTCGAATTCGAAGTCGGAGGAGGAGGAGGAGGAGGAGGAGGAGGACTTCCCGCCCCTGCCCCTGCCCGGGAGGACCAGGAGGTGCAGGACGGAGAACCAGGCGGAGGAGGAACATGGGGAGGACCAGGAGGAGGAGGAGGAGGAGGAGGAGGAGGAGGAGGAGGAGGAGCACCAGGGGCAGGAGGAGGAGGAAAAGGAGGAGGAGGAGGAGGAGGAGGAGGAGAAGGAGGGTTTTGAGGAACTGGAGGAGGAGCAGGAGAAGCTAGATTTTGAGGACCAGTTGGGGGAGGAGGAGCAGGAGCGGGAGGAGGAGGAGGCGGGGCCCCTCCCTGCCCTCCCCTGCTCCTCTCCAGAGATCCTGCCTCTCCTCCTGGTCTGCCAGGGTTAAGGGCGAACGTCCATGGGGAAAGAAGAGATTGTTGAACAGGTTAGTCGCTTCGCTCAGTCCTCCTGCCCGTATTGTGCCATCGTTGGCGTTTGCGTGCCCTTTCGTGGGCCATGCGCCGTTGCTGGTCGGCGCTGCTGCGGTTGCGGGTGAGTCCTCATGGGTGCTTCTTGGTATCTCTTCGGAGGGTTCTCGGGGGCTCCTGTGTAGCAGTTGTAGAGGGCCTTGGGTGCCTCCTGGGTGCGCCTTGGATTCCTCTCGGGGCTCTCTTGGCGCCTCTCGGGGGGCCTCTTGGACCCTCTTGGGAGGCTCTTGGGGGCCGTTTGGGGCAGCCTGAACGCATCTTGGGGCCGAGGGCTCGAAAAGCCCGTTCGGCTTCCTCTCTTTGGGCCTCCTCTTGGGGCCGTCCTGGGTGGGTTCTTTTTGTCCGTATTTCAGGCCTCTGCGGCCGTCTTGCGGCCCTCTTGGGCCGTGGTGGGGACTCTCTTTGAGGCCTCTTAGGCCGTCTTGGGCGATCTTGGGGGCCTCTGGGGCCGTCTTGGAGCGTGGGGAAGCCGAAAAGGCGAGAACGCCAATATCCTTCCCTTGCCGGGGATCTCCTGGGCATCTCGCAGGGTACTTTTCGTCCTGCTCCCAGGGGCGGCTATGCGCGTGCGAACTAGAAATGCTGTTAACCAGTTGCCCGACATCTTAGCACACCTCTGGCCCGTTGGGCCTGCGAATTTGGTTCAACGACCCGCCTATACTAGTCGAAAGCAGGGTCTGTTGCGATGCCTCTTGAAGGGCTCTTGGAGTTTCGGAGGAGCTTTTTTGGAGGCCTCTTGCGGTCTCCTGGGCGCGTCTTGGGAGCCTCGTTGGGCCTATTGGGAGCTCCTCGGAGGCCTGGGGGGGAGGGCTCTGGGAGCGATTTGGAGGCTGCAGGCCTACTGAGAGCTCTTCGGAGGCCTGGGGGGCTTGGGGGCTCTGCGGGCGATTTTGAGGCCTCTCGAAATGATCGTTGGGGCTCCCCCTCTCGATAGGGGTCTTCCTGAAGGTGTCTTGGAGCTCTCCAGCGCCGTCTTGGGAGAAACTGGGGCCGTCTTGGAGTCCCCGTGGGGCGTTTGGGGGGCTCTCTTGGAGGCTTATGGGCAGTCTTGATTAAGGGCTTCTTGGGCGTCTTAGAGCGTTGGCGGCCGACAAGGTGGGAACGCCGAAAACCTTCAAAAACCAATGGAACATCGTTGAATTTTGCCTCGGGGGGCTTCTTGGGAGTGGTCTTGGAGGCACCTTCGGGCGTCTTGGAGGCGGTTGAAGCCGTCTGGAGGCTATCTTGGGCATCTTTGAACGACTTCTGGTGACTGGGGCCCCTCTCGGACCGCCTTAGGGGCCCCTTGAGACGCTTCTGAAGGCCCTGAAGGCAGCCGTTGCGGCATCCGTGACGGGACCAAGAAACTATGTTTTGTTTTGTGACAGCATCGGGAATACAACGACTATTGAGTTCAGCGATAGTATCGGGAATCATCACATTCATCAGGATCGAGAGGTTGCGGTGGCTGCAGCCCAGGCGTCGGCCAGCCTCGTGGCCGGCCAGCGCCCCACCCCACTCCCTCCTTCAGGTGCAACGAGAGGGAGGGACTGGCATAGGGGGGGGCGCATCGACCCCCCATCGCCCACTGATCGCCGAGAAGGTGCGGATTCGCTGTCGGGGGCCTATCGCCGATCTATCGGCGATGTACCGCCCATTCCAGGTCGATGCTTCCCCCCCCTATGCCTATCCCCCCCCCTATCGTTGCCCCTCACTCCTTTTCTCCTTCCCCGCACGCTGTGCTGCGCCGGTGCTCCAACTGCTTCTGCGCGGCCCCGAGGACGCGCGGCACTGGGCCCGCGCGGAGATCGAGGAGGCTGGTGGGGGCGGGGCCAGCGAGGAGGAGGGTGGAGACTCAAGGTTACGAGCGGGGAGGGGGGTGAAGCACCCCCCTCGGGTCGGTGGAAAATCGCGGCGGCAGGTTTGGGGCACTGTTCTATCTCCAGTGATCCGCTTTCGGTCCGCAGGATTAGGAAAGAGCTGCTCGGGGTGAAGGACTGGTGTCGAGTCGTCTCAGGGTGTTCACGTCGTGAACAAGTCACGACGCTGGGGGTCGGGGTTTGATTAGGTGGGCTGGGAGGGCAGACGCCGTCCTCCCAATATCTGTTGGCGAACGTTGGCGATGAAACGTCCACGTCACTGCAAGTTCGTTTCGCCTGCTTGATCCGTGCCACGCATAGTCTGAGCATCCCCCGCTGAGAATTACACGCGGTCAGCTTGGCTGGGCAAGCCCGCCCCTCCCCCCACCCCTTTCCCTGGGATCGTCCGCGGACACGTGGCGACGACCGTGGCCTGGGGAAGCCCGAGGAGGCGGCGCGCCGCGACCGGGAGGCCCATGCCAAGAAACACCCTGCTTGCCTCCAGGGTGCCCTGGGTTTCTTGGGTCTCGATTGTTTTGCTGTGGAAAGCGTGACGTCCCCACACCAAAAATCCATGGACGTCCTGGGGTCTTAGGGTTGGGTTTCTTGGGGAAGTGTTCTTGTGGACTGGCCCCCCTCCTCTACCCCCCGCGCCGCGGCCATGCGAAAGAGCTAGGCCGCGTGAGTTTGAGCTCTGCCTTTGCCCCCTCCGCGCCTTCAGGGGGGGGGCCTCTCTCCATGTTCCCCCCCCCCTCCTCGATCCCTGACCTTCCAGAGTGCTGACTAACAAAAAGACCACTCCAGACCTCCAGACCTGTCTGGACTGCTTCAAGCCTCGACTGGATCTTGCACGTCGACGTCCCGGTGCTGTGCTGCAGGCATCCTGGAAGGTCGGGGATCCCAGCCGTGGGTGGCCGAGCCTCCGGAGGGGCGCCTGCTGCCGGCGGCTCTGGAGGGGCACGCGCCAGCGGCATGCCGACCGGGCCTCGACCCCCAGTGGGCGGTGTCTTCGATGCGCACCCCTGGGTATCGGGCGGCGACTGCAAAGGGTCTAGGCCTCCCAGATGGGGTCGGGGTCGATGGGGTCAGGGGATCGCGCAGCATCGCCGATGCATCGGCGGTGCATCGGCGGTGCTGCTCGATGTGGGGCCCGATTTTCTCCACGCCGACGTCACCGATGCATCGCCGACGTCGCCGATGACGCGTCGTCGATGCATCGGTGATGCATCGGCGATGCGGCGCGATCCTCAGACCCCATCTACTCGGACCCCGTCTAGGAGGCCTCTATGGTAAGGCGGCGACTGCAAAGCGTGTGCTTACGCCCGGGTGTGGTTTGCGATCGGCGCCGTTGGGACCAGGGGGCCCGACACTGTCCTCGTCGGGCCTCCCCGGGGCGCGGCGGAGAGCTCAGTCGAGGTCCTCGCTCGTCCCCTCGGGGTGCCCCCCAGGGCGCCCGTTGCAAACCACACCCTTTTCAAACCATATTCTTCTGAGTCGCCGAGTCAGGCCTCGGGTTGCGCACAGACAGCCCCCCCAGCTTGGAGCCGTCTGAGGGTCAGAGGTGGCCCAGCATTGGTTCTGGCCAGCAGAAAGGGCGTGCAGGTTCGAGGTTCTGGCTTCGGGATTTTCATTGCATGTTTCGGCCTCCAAGGGCCGTTTTCGGGTTCCGGGAGTCAGTCCCGGGACAGTGAAAAACGGATTCGGAGTGAAACCCTGCACCAGATGGACCCGAGGTGGGGCCAGAGACCGATTTTGAAAGCATTTGGCCCCATCCGCCCTCCTGACCGACGTTCCACAGCCCCAGACACTTCAGACCCACCAGCTACCTCCAACCCCCAGCTGGTGCCGGCTGGCCTCGACCGGCCCCAGGGGCATCAGCCACGCGCAGAGGGGGGTAGGGGGAGGGGGGAAGGCTTCTTAGAAGCACCCCTGCTTCTTAGAAGGTCCGGGCTTTCTCTGTAGATGTAAGGCCCGCGCCTTCTAAGAAGCGGCCTTCTTCTAAGAAACCCTCCCCCCTCCCCCTACTCCCCTCTGCGCGCCGCCAAGAGCAGTCCCGGCTGTCCTCCACAGACTCCCCAAGCAGTTCGGGGCAGCTTCGGCACCCCGGCGCCGCCTCCAGCGGCGCTCCTGGGGCGCTCCGTGCCCCAGTGTGGGACCGCCCTGGACTGCTCGGGGAACTGTCGAGGCCAGCCAGTGCTAGCTGGAGGCGTTGCCTGCGCGCATCCCGAGGCCTTCATTGCCACCGCCCTTTCTTGCCTTCCTCGCGCAGATTCCGCACATCCATTCGGGTCGGTGTCGCGCAGATGCCACATATCCATACCTGACCAGTTCTTTCGCCGCCGGCATGGGACCAGCCGCGGAGAGATGCGTGAGGCGAGCAGGCCGCCCATACAGAGAGTTCGCCTTCAAATTGACCAGGCGCGCGCGTCTTCTTGCTCTTCTAGCAGCTTAGCCGCGGCAGCGCAGATGGTTTGTTCTTTGGCGCTCTGCGAGCAGCGTCGTCGACAATGTATTTTCCACTAGCGCGAACACCCTGGTGTATGGCTTGCCAGTCTGTCAAACCCATCAAGTGGGAGCGGGAGTCGCCGGAGAAGTGGCCGTCGAATCCGCGCTGTTCGTAGCCCGCCCACCCACCCCCCCGCGGGCCCTGGGAAATGCTCGGCGGGCGGTGACCGAGCCCCCCCCCCTCGAGAGAACGGCGGCCAGGGCCCGCGCTGTCCACGCACCCCTGTCGAACCCGCAGCTCCATCATTGTCGAAGGACCCGCTTGTGTTCAGGCCCGCGAACAGCCTGGTGTACAGTCACCTAGTAAGGACGCCCTACTTTGCTCAGGGTACCCTTGCGTCCTTGCTCTTCCTTGCACTTGCGTCCTTGAGGTTTTCGTCGTCCGCCGCCCGCAAAAATCCCCAACTTCGGCGTCCAAGGGTCTTGCGTCCTTACCGCGCGTCCTTATTAGGGTTTTTAACTGTATGGCTTGCCGGTTGGTCGAATCCTTCGCGGCAGCGGGGGGGAGAGGCCAATTTGCGCTCAAGCTCGCCAGAGAGCGCACGAGGCACCCGCTGGTTTCTCGACGTCGGCGGCTTGTAGGGTGGCGCGTGTAGTTATGCATTCGGCCAGCAGGAAAGCGGTGGGGCTGCAGATTGCGTTGACAGCAGATCCTTGAAGACAGGATCCTCCCTCAACTGTCGGCCGTCCTGCGTCTCCCCAGTCCCCGTGGGCCGCCCAGAGGGCGCGAAGTTATCTGCGGCTCGCGATTCGAGTTTCTTCATCCTCGTTCTCATCGTTCTCCCTTTCTCACCTGATGTTGGGGGGGGGGCGGTGCGAGGGTGTCCTTGGTTGCCTGCATGGGCCGTCTTGGAAGCTCGGGACGCGGATCCATCGCTTTCGACAGTATCGTTTAACCGACCCCTACCCCTCCTCCCCATATCCCCATAACACCATCCCCACCCAGACCCCCCCCCCATCCAGACCCCCACCATCCAAACACCCCAGTTTGGGATAGACCCTTCGAAACCCGAAGGGAACGGCCTACATCCCTATCTAGGGGGTAAATCAGCCGGTGGGGCCCAGGCCGCGTCCATGGGGATAGGGGCGGGTTCCAACGATGCTCAGTTCAACAAGAGATCGTGGCCTTGGGAGCGCGGATCCATGGTCATTTTCACGGGGGATCGCGGCCTCGGGCGGTGCGAGAGCGCGACGTGTGCTATCTGCGCGTCGCGCAGCGCAGGGCGCGAACACCGCCGCCCCTATGGCTGCCACCACCATTACCTCCTTTCCCCCTCTCCCCTCCACTCTCCTCTTCCTTTTTCCCGGGAGGGGGAAGAGGATGAGGGGGTTGGTGGCGGCGTGTATCTGTGGGCCCCGTAGGTGCGAGAGCGCGAAGCTTGTGATTCGCGCATCGCGCAGCGCACGGCGCGAGCCCAGCTGTCCCTGGGCTGCCCCCCGGGGGAGGCGCTGAGCCGGGCTCCGGAGCACTTCACCATCGAGTTCGGGAAGGGCGACACGGAGGCCGCTGTCCTCCTTGCCCCGCGGCCACGCGGGGTTCGAGTAGGATTTCGGTTGTTGAATTGGTTCAGGAGGCTTGCGCAGGATAAATTTGATTGTGCAAGGACGGCGGAGGGAAAATGTTCGCGGCGAGAAGGTCGGGCCTATATGTCACGAGGCCACCTCGGAGCACTTTGCCTACGCGCGGAGGCAATTTCTCGCTTTCATCGCGCGGCAAGGACAGTTGAAGTGCAGATCGAGTGCACGGTTGATTTCCCAGTCGAACTTGATGGTAAGGATGGGTACCCTTGCATCCGTGCCTCTTTGATCTATCCTTGACTATTTTCGATGGCCCGCCGCGCTCGAAGAAAACATCAATATGGGCGTCCAAGGGGCTTGCGTCCTTATTAGTATCGGGGCTAGGCTATAACATAAACATAAAACAAACTATGGGGTCCTCCGCGTATTTCTCGGATCGGCGCTGCCAACCATTTCGGCACACACACACACACCTCACACGTCTCTTGGCCCCATCTGGAGCGCCACCGAAGGCCCCAGTGGTTGTGACCACATGCGTTTGCGCCACCCATGTCGGCACACCCCTCACACGTTTCGTGGCCCCATAGGGAGCGCCACCGAAAACCCCAATGGCTGCGCCCTCGTGCGTCCCCGCCACTCATTTCGACACACCCCTCAAACGTCTCGTGGCCCCAAGGGGAGCTCCACAGAAGAGGATACACACCACTGCGGTATTCACAACTGCCTGCGGCTGGGCCCTTCGCCAGGATGATTTTCAGCTGAAGCAGCCAAGAGCTGCCACATAGGATCCAACGCTCAGGAGCGCAATCGTTCCGTTCCGTTCCGATCCTGCTCCTCCTCTTCGTCCTCCTCTTTCTCCTCCTCCTCCTGCTCCTCCTCCTGCTCCTCTTGCTCGGGCGCGGGGGCGCGCTCGGGCGCCAGCGCCGCCGAACACCCGCGCTGAAGCGAGCGCATCCTCCTCCTCCTCCTCCTCCTCCTCCTCCTCCTCCTCCTCCTCCTCCTCCTCCTCCTCCTCCTCTCCCTGTCCTGGTGCGATTTATTTCCTCCAGCAAGTAACGCACGCGCCCCCCGAGGTTGTGGGCTTCGTCTTCTCTCTAGTATATGGCTGCCGGCATGTCCGCCCCTACTAGTCCGCTTGTCTCACACTTTTCTGATGCGCTCGCGCGGACTCTGCTGTCGTTGGGGTGTCTGATTTCCTCTCCTCTGAAACGTGCCCCGCTTCTCCACCAGTTAGTGGCAGATGGCAGCACAATCACAGCGTTTATCTTTGTTTCAACACATGTCGCCCAGAGAACTGGCCAGAAGAATATTCACCGCATTCTGTCCTGTGGCGTTTTTGCGAAGCCCCACGGGACAGGGCCCAGATACCCCAGACTATGTACGCGCGGTGCCCAGCTGTTCGCTGGGGGGGAGGACAGTTGGCGGCGTGCGCGCCCCGCTGTTGCCTCCGCCCTCGGACCTGTGCCAGCAGGCCGCAGGCAGCAGATATTTGCCCTGCCTCGGGCCCCTTGGCCTTTCACGGATCGCTGTGGCCCGAAGTTTGACATGGTTCGGAGGAGGAAGGGGCACTCTGGGTTTCTCAATAAGGGTGGGGGGGTACCTCCGCGACGTTGGTCAACCTCGCCTCGTCGTCGCGCCGCGACGGGATCCAGAATCCAGAGCGCCTTGGCGCGCGGTGGCTGCCTGCGACGGGGGTCGATGCGGGGCTGTCAGCAGGGGCGACGCCCCCTAGATGCTTATTAAGAAACTCGTGTGGACCTGTGGCGACCCCGCCGCCCGCGTTCAACGTCGGATGCCACCGGCGACCCAGAATCGGTCGATGTTGAACGATCTGATGTCTCGGAAGCGACCGATCGTTCAAGATTGAACGATCTTCGCGGTGTCAGGAACCAACGCCGACTCAGCACGACACGAAACCGCGGTACCGATGCTGGTACCTTTCTTTCGTTGCTCGCGTTTTTGGGCCTCCTGGTGAGCCCTCGGCAAGCGGCAAGCGTTCTTCTCAGAGCCGGGGACAACGAAACGTGCGACATCACACAGTACGATGTTGGTCCTTAGCGACTTCAACGCGAAGCTATTTCAGCAAAACCCAGGGGACGAAAACATGATCGGAAAGTCTGTCTTTCGGAGTGCTCCCAGCTGGAGTGCCAGCGACAAATATTGAACAAGCAGTTGTTGATGGAGCACTGTATCGCAAGGGACATGGTCATTGCCAACACGCACTTTTCAATTCCAGTTGAGCAGCGAGTTACCTACAGAGACCTCGGACTCCAACCTTGGCAGACCGTCATGCCTCAAAACTTCAGCCATATTGACCACGTGCTATGCGACAAGACAATGCGAGCCTGGATTTAAACTGCAGGACCGACAGGACAGCTGCTTTCAACAGCCATCATTTCTTGACTTGAAGTAGTGGTGCGCTCCCAATTTGAAAAGACAGCTGTGAGAACACAGGTTCGCGTTGATGCATCATCGATGTCGGACCCATGCAGGAATAATGAGTTTACTCAGAGTTCCTGCGGCGCTTTCAAAATCGCCGCGAACGTCAAATGAGACCCTCGATGATGTAGCTACGAATATTGAGCAGGCCTTGTGCAACAACATCAGACACGCTCCCAACCAGGGCAATCCAAGCTAACTAAGAAGCGTCGGATTCATCTTTAGGCCTTAGGCGTTTGAGTTGGTAGAACGATGTAACACATGCTGGCGTAGCGGGGTCACCTCCGTGAGCGCGTTCTTGATACATAGATCCGGAAGGCAGCCCAGAAAGATCGCACAACTTTGATCGGCAAAAACTTGAAATGGAAGAAGCTGGGAGGCAGTGGCAAATCTTCGGAGAAAGCCGCCAGCCAGACATGTCGGACCACGCGATTTGAATAACAACGTCGCTGACACCGTTAGCTGGCCAGACGCTCTAGCAGATTTTTGTGAAAGTGGCCCACCGGGCCGTCAAGTTCGCAGATATTTGTCATGCTGCTTCAGACGCGTTTGGTGGCGAATCCCGAGTGGACGCATCGGATCCTGCATTGGATGAGTTTCAATTTGCCCTGAAGAAGATGAAGCGTGGAAACGCATCCGGCCCTGACGACGTCCCTCCAGATGTTTGGGGGACGTGCTATCTCAAGGTGATGATGGATGCATAGTTGTTGTCGAACTTTGTCAGACATGCTTGGAAGCCAAAACATACCAGGCACACGGAAAACTGCGAACGTCCTTTTATTGTTCAAGGAAAGAGACGTTACGGTGCCAAGGAATTATCGTTCAACCTTTCTTTTAGCAGTTGGGTGCAAAGCGTTGGCTGCACTGATCCATCCAAAGGTTTTTGCGAGGGTGGGTCGGCGACTTTAGCGCAATTTGCAATTTGGATGCAGACTTCGGCGAGGCACAGCAGGCGCCCTCGTGCTGCTCCGGCGGATGATGCACGTAATGTCTAAAACCTGTTGAAAAAATATGACGCCCCCTCCCCCTCGGATCCCGAGTGTCATTAATACGCCAGCGGATAATATGTTTTATTGCCCCCCTGGAAAAATACTTGACGGAGAGCGAAAATACGTGTGTATTGTTGACGTATACACGCACGCGCACGCATTGGAAAATGCAGTCGAACTTCTTGCGAGCAGATGTATAGGCTGCTCCGGTCGACGAATCAGTAGTTCTCGTCCGACTGGAACAGTGTGCGTGCGCACGGTTCCCTTGCAGCATGGGTCGTGGCGGCCGCGTGCACGGCGGCCTTGCCCCTCGCGCAGTGTTACGTTTTCCAACGCAGTGTGCCCGGGCCGCCGCGCGCGCGGCAGCCCTCGCCCTTCGCGCATGGTGTATAATCCCGCACAGAATGGGCAAAGCCTTGTCTTCGCGCCCTGCGCGCTTCCCCGCGCAGAACAGGCTAGGGCCGCCGCTCGCGCCCCTCGCGCGCTGTGCGTTTTCCCACGCACAGCTGGGGGGTGGTTCGAAGTTCGCCCTTCACGCATGGTGTTTTTCCATGCGAGCTGCGCGCGGATCGCCGCGCGCGCGGCGGCCCTGGTCCCTCGCGCGCTGTGTGTGTGTGTGTGCGTGTGTGTGTGTGTGTGTGTGTGTTTGTGCGTGTGTGTTTGCCACGCAAGATGCGCGTGGGCCGCCGCGCCCGCGGCGGCCCATTGCCAGCCGCCGTTCGTTTTATCATGCGCGACGCGCGTGGGCCGCCGCGAGCGCGTGGGTCGCCGCGCGCGCGGCGGCCAATGAGCCCTCGCACATTGTATTGTTTCCATGCAAGATGCGCGTGGGCCCTCGTGCATGGTTGTTTCCATGCAAGGTGCGCGTGGGCCGCCGCGCGGCGGCGGCCGATGGCTGGTCGCGCGTGTTTTTTTTTTTTTTTTTTTTTTTTTTTTTTTTTTGTTGGGGCGTGTGTGTGAGTGCGTGTGTGCGCGTGCGTGTTTGTGTCCATGCGAGATGCTTGTGGGCCGCCTCGCGCGCGCGGCGGCCCGCGGCCTCTCGCGCGTAGTTTTTTCTTCCCCCCCCTGTGAGATGCACGCCGCCGCGCGCGCGGCGGCCCATGGCCGTTGGCCGCCCCGCGCCGCCCCACGCAGGGCGCGCGCGGGCCGCCTCGCGCGCGGCGGCCCAGGAATCCTCATCCATTTTCTCCCCATGCAGGATGCGCCTGGGCCGCCGCGCCCGTTGCGGCCCAGGCCCTTCGTGCGTTGTTTTTCCATGCGAGATGAACATGGACCGCTGCGCACGCGGCGGCCCATGAACCCGCGCTCATGCTGTTGTCCCAATCAAAGATGCGCGTGGGCCGCCGCGCGCGCGACGGCCCATTGCCCCTTCGTGCGTTGCATTGTTTCTTTACAAGATGCGCGTGGGCCGCCGCGCGCGCTCGCGGCGGCCCTGACCTTCCGCGCGGTGTGTTTGTCCGTGCAAGATGCGGGTGGGCCGCTGCGCGCGCGGCGGCCCGCGGCCTTCGCGATTTTTTTCACAATTATCCCAGTGCGACCCTACCTAGGAGTTGGAGC